TAATAGCGGTTATAAGAACTGCCCTACTAAGGAGACTTCTCGTCTCGGACAAGATATAGTTAAGCTCGCAGCTAGTAAGGGTGCTAGCTATCTACGCATTAAGGTTTCTCTTATATCTAAAGATAAGACCGCCTATTTAACTATTATCGAGGGCATATACGAAACAGAGGTCTTCGAGAACTAGGTTGAGAAGCTTAATGCCCGTAGCCTAGTTCTACTAAACAAGATTAGCAAGCTTACTAACAAGCACCTTACTAACGACGACCTCGGCTATATGTTCGATAGTTAGCCTAACGAAGGCGAGGCAGCTTAGTAGATCCTCAACCCTCTTAAGGAATGCGAAGTCTCTATTTAGATGCTACACCTTCCGTATAGCGATCTAAAGCCCGAGAGCGACCGTATATTAATCGACCTAGGCTACTCTCGTATTATCGACGGCACTAAGATTAAGGGCTACGACAACTTAACCGTCGCTAAGGTTGCTAAGGCGCACCGCAATCTAACCGCCCTTCTAGGTTCTAACACCTTCGTACCGTTCGCCTTCCCTACCGCTATCTTAGTCGAAGGCCTTAGTTGCATTTCCGATGCCCTAGTCGGTAGAATTCCTTAGTTAAGTTACGTTGTTTAGAACGAAGTTAAACAAATCCTCTAGTTTAGTAAGGAGGAGCTTAAGGACTATCTACGCGAATAAGAGAAGGCTATATAGGATAAGGCTGCTAATCTCCTCGTTAATTAAGCTTACTTCGAGGTAGAGTACTTTAGTGCTAACAGCTTTAATACCTGCGGAGGAGCTTAGGACAGTCGACTAGCTAATAAGGTTATTACTAGTAAAGATTACGGTATATTAAAGCAGCAGTAAGTCAGCGTAGTGGATTGGATGCTTAGGAAGTTGTTTTTGCATGTTTATAGAGTCTAGGAACAATGCTACCCCGGGGGTGTTATTGCGGAGTGTCTAAAAGATAGCCTTAGCTAAGATGCCTAAGGTTACTATATAACTGTTTGTTTTGAGCGCACAATGTAAAGCGTGTCTAGTTAGACACGAAGAAAGGGAGGGATATTAGCTAGTAACCGGCCCTATACACCTAGGCTGAGTTTTGAGCCTATATAAGAGGCCTCCTTCTATATTAGAGATAGAGCACTAACCTCGTATAGCACATTGTTTACGTTACACTTCTATAATGCCTATATTGTAGGGCTCTAGTCTTTAGCCTAAGCAACCGTCTTATTATCCTATTATACTAAACATAGCTGCCTATATTGCTATAGGTTATATTACCCTCGGTGGCCTATACTATTACTGCTAGTAGTAGTAGTAGTTTTGGTTTCCGTCCTTTACCGTAAATTGATTAGTTCGAGCAATTCGTCTACCGCGATCCCTTTCCCGGGCCTGCCTGTTATATTTACGACGCCGCCGGCTAGAATCGCGCTACGGAGATGTAGAGATGCGCCCTTAAGTAGCTAAATTAGATATAGTATCTCGCGCCCGTAGTTATATTATCTAGCTCCGAAAAATACTACTACGAGCTGCGGCAAGAGACGTTTAATATAACTAATATCTATATTCCGAGTCGTATATCGGAGAGTTAACTAGAGCTCGGTTATATAGAGTCGCCGATAAAGTGTAGTCTAGGTAGGATCGCGGATTCTAGGCTGTACCTACGGGATAGGCTCTAACCGTAGCGGAGTCCGGCGCATCTACTACGGTAAGAGTAGCTTTATCCTAGGTGTACTATATACCCGTTCCTATTCTCTTTCTAGCTATACTAAAGGCCGCAAGTAGCTATTATATATAGCTGCTAAGAACTGAAGATATTTATCTATAGTAAGACCTACTATAGTAGGTGCAACCGCCCTTAGCTTACTAAAATTAGGAGGTAAATCCGTAGGGAAATATTCGCTATAGTACAGCTGCTTAACGAATAAGGCGATAATCCTTACGGAGTACCTATAAAGCGCAATAGGACGTAGTATCTAGTATTTTAGTTTTTTCTCGGTTAATCCTTTCGTACTAAATGCCTACTTGTCCTAGAAAAGGCTATATTCCGACCTAGCATCCTAACTAACACTCTAGAAAAGGCGAACTAGTATATAACAGAGGTTTATAGCGGTATAGAAGAGTCCCGTAACGGGTATTATCTAATCCCGCCGCTCGAATAGCCTTACACTTTTAGCATTTTTACCTTTGTTACTCCGTATACGCTATACCGACTATTGATCTCCGTAGAAAAGCTATAACCGTATAAGGAAGTCTGCGACTAGGTTAAGGCGCAGCTTATATAGTATAATGTCCTCTTATACCGCGGCGTTCCTATCGATAGTACTCTCGCTATAGTAAATCGTACTAAGCGGGTAGAATTCGGTTTTAGAGGCCCGTAGCGGATATAGTCCTAGCTACTACGCAATCGACTTAACCCGAGGGTCCTCGACTACGGTTGCGAGCTTATTTTCGAAGATACTTATAATCGCCGCGTATATATAATACATCGACAATTTCCGAGACTATTTATCTTCTCTAAGCGTAGGGGCATTATAGATATCCGCAGCGTCTAGTCGCGTATCTACCTTGAAATCGTTAATACGTAGGCTAGTATCGGGATAGCGAATATACGGAGTAAAGCGCACTAGCAGCGCCGTAGTAAGATTGCGTATAACCGACTAATTAGATATAGTCTAATCCCGAACCGTATCTTAGAAATTAATATTGTCGTATACTACGTACTATATAACATTATGCGCTAACTAGACGAGCCTTTCCTATATAGAATAAGCACGAGTTAACTACAATGCGATTAAATAACTACCTTCTACTCGCTCCTAGAAAGCTTCTCCTTACGGTATAGTGCTATATACGTAGCGATTAAACCAATCCCCGATAGGACATCTAATACCCTCCGCTTTACGCTATTTAATAGGAGGTACCGACCGAATGCCTTTGCAAACCAATCAGATTTGTTCCGAGAGCGAGTATAGAGGATAAAGGCAGTAAGGGTAAATATTCGTATATCGAGATTATCCGGCTCTTTGTTACGCTACCTAACTAATACGCTACGGGCAAATTGATGCTATACTAGAGCAACATCCCGGATAACCTTATATATATCCTTAAACTACTAGACGGAGAATTAATTATCGAATCTATTAATAGGTTCGAGTAGCGTAGCGGCCTAGTCGCCCGCTACGGCCTCGGATACCTCCGTAGCGGATCGAAGAGTCCTCTACTATTTCCTATACAAGCTCTTTCTAATTAGGTAATCGAGTTTACGAATAATATCACTATTCTTACTACTAGATAACTTAACCTGCTTCGATTTGCGTAGCTCCGTATTTAATATAATAGAGAGCTAGCCGACGCGATACGTATAGGACTTACTCCGTAGTTTACTAGCCTAGTACCGTACGACCTTCCCTATAGTAAGGTTGTTTTTCCGTATCTTGCGTATTACTTCTTTATAGCGCTGTCTTTTATCGCGACGAGCGCGGGGCTAGCGAGTTACGTAGCGGGTCGACTCGTTATCGCTACTACTAACGCTACTACTGTTTATAATACTATCTACTTCTAGTTGTAGGCGATCCGCTAGGTCCTCCTCTTCGATAGACCTATTGCCCGGATACTTATAAGATAGAATACTAGAAAGATCGGAGGAGGCAGATAGACTAGAAGGAGAGCGACTAGATATATATCTATCCGTAGCGGAAGATAGAGATAGTCTTATAAAAGCAGGCTAGAAAGCCGCGGAGGGTATAGTCGTAATAGAAATGCGCGATAATATAGTCGTATCTACCTAGCGTATATCGCGACGCGGGCGCTACGACGACGACGATATATTTGTATCCGATTTCGTACCTAGGAAACTTCGGGAAAAAGATAGTAATACGGAGAGAGGTATTCCTACTACGGAGAGAAATTTTTACTATAGGAAATAGTCGTTCTAGTATTAAAACTAGGGTTTTGCGATTCTTTTATACAAATATTTAATATAGGAAGTCGAAATCCCGATAGAAACGGCCTAGACGAGAATAGCGATTCCTGTATTCCCCGCCCTAATTAGTAGAAAAATTTGCTTAGCTCCGTATAGTTTTTATCTAAGCCCGCTGCGGAGTAGTCTATATACGGGACGCGGACCGCTGTATTCCGCAAAGGCAAATTGTCTAATAATAAAACGCAGGTGAGAATATAAAGGTAGGAATCGCTAACATTCTCGTCTGGTCTCGAGATAGCATGACACCTTCTTCTTCAGCCGACGCGCAGTGGCAAACATGCCGGATATGACATGCTCTTGTATATTCTGATAGCGAGGGCCAGCTCTGGCCAAGGCCCTCGGGCTGGGAAGACCACATGCTACGTCGTTAGAGTGCAAGCGTTTGAGCCATAGGAGTAGATTGGGCCAGGACGGCTCATAGTCGCTGTGGCCGCACGCACCGATGCGCATCGATCGATTCTTGCTAGGGAACCCTAACGCTCGGAGGTACTTCACGAACTTAAATCGAAGGTCGGGGGTGTACATGCTTGTCATGAGCGTCCAGGTCATCTCCTATGGATATGTCAGTCTTGCGCGGCGACAGAAATGTTTATGGCAGCGACGTACCTAGCAGTGCTTCTGCGATTTCCACCGGCGCAGCGGGCATTGCCACGGTTGCGGTGCTCCTCGCAGGAAGATCGGCGTCGGTCATAATGGAGTGCGTCGATGGTATCTGATCTCAGTGGCGAGGAGTGCCAGAGGTGTTGGTGCGAGTCCGATGGAACATGAATTCAGATCGACTGCTCGAAGTTGGATACGAGCTTCACGAGCTTGGGCCACATGAAGAGCTGCTCTTTCCCTTTCATTTCAGAAGTCAGGAAAGTGAGGCATGTGCAACGGCAGTATCATACAAAGTACAGGGAGGTGCTTACGGTGTGCTTTGCAAGATAGGTATCACCAGAATTTGTACCAAGCCTGTCCTTCACTCTTGTCACCAGCAGCCTTGTACTGCACATCCAGCTCCTTGTCCTTCGCCTCTCTTCTCTCCTCACGCAGCTTTGCCTTCCTTTCTTCTCGAGCCTGTTTCTCGGCTTGCTTCTTGTTCAAGATTTCCACGGCGCGCATCATGCCTTCCTTTTCTGCTTGCCTTTGGTACATGCAGTACTGGTACAGGACGCCGGCGGAGAGGCAGAAAGTGCCTACAGCCCAGTTCGCAGCTTTAGGGACGGAAGCTGTATTGCTCAGTGATTCGTTCATAGTGATGACCAGTACTGGCAACACGTACCTCCAAACACCAATCTACCGCCTCCAACAGCGAAGCCACCGATCATGCCCTGGAGAAGACTGTCCCTTACACATGGCCGCTTGTGCACTTCCCATATCGGTGTTCCTGCCTGTAATACGTTCATAAGCGTTACATCTGGCACTTCTCCACCTGCGGTATGCTGCGTTCCTCCTGCCATCATATTCGCGTTCTCTGGCGGCTTGTATGGTATCTGCTTTCCACCCTGCCATTGTGTGCCCGAGAAGGCCTTGTTCTCTGGATGCACCGTCAATGCTTCTTTGCTGAGGTCCTCCCGTTGCGGACCTTGCCGCGTATCGTCTGCCATGATGGTGAGTAGGCTGGTAGAGAGAGAGAAGGAATCGATGATGCATGTGAAAGTTGAGATGGCAGCCTCAGGCACTCCGGAAGCAATGCCGAAAGTCAATTTGGACTCGCGTTCAAGGCGCGTTCTCCACGACGCGCCGCGCTGCCAGCTTCACTACACACACTTTGAACTACAGCACAGCACAGCACTTGAGGATTTTTATGGACGGCTGAACACGACTGACGACACAGTAATGACTGCATAATACGATACATTCGAAAAGGCCGATTCGGCCTGATACACACCCAATATGCCTGTCCGCCGCAAAGAAGGCAAATCGCGTTTCGGCGCCAACAAATCTGGACAACTCAAGGCCGGCAAAGTACGAGTCGTCGACCCCTCCACACTGCGAAACTCGGAAGCAACGAACCAGAATGAGAAGATCGAAGCTACTCGACTTGCCCACAAGATCGACGAAAACCAGGGATTCGAGCGCTTCGAAGCGGGCAAGAAGAGGCAAGGATGGCTGATCAACATGCACAGCACCGCGATTGAAGACTCCAAAATTCCTGGTGGTCGAGCGGCGGTGGACTTTTACTTCATTGGCGACGATGGCGAACAGTTCAAGGCCAGCGTGGAATACCAGCCATACTTTCTGATCGGCGTCAAGAAGGGCCGAGAGCCTGAAGTGGAAGAATGGGCGCGGAGGAGTTTCGAGGGCCTCATCACGCGAGTAGAGCGTGTGGATAAAGAGGATCTGAAGATGCCGAACCATTTGCTTGGATACAGGCGCACCTTCCTGAAGCTGCTCTTCGCCAATGTTACAGATCTGCTGGCGGTGCGAAGGGCGATCTTGCCGATTGCGGAGAAGAACAAGAGCAAAGTCAGCGCCATGGACACATATGCCGAAGTAGCAAGCGCAAATGCCGGATTTGACATGTTCGAGGACGGTGCAGAGCGCGATCGAAGGCCGACAGGAATTGCAGACGCGAGCGATTTCATTCTGGATATACGAGAGTACGATGTGCCTTACCATGTGCGTGTGTCGATCGACATGGACATTCGGATAGGAAAGTGGTATGAAGTGGAAGCGAAGCATGGTCATGTCAAGTTGCGCTGTCTCGAGGATCGCTTGACACGTGCTGATCCGGTCGTCATGGCATACGATATCGAAACCACCAAATTGCCCTTGAAATTTCCAGATGCCGCGATTGATCAAATCATGATGATTTCATATATGATCGATGGGCAGGGATTTCTGATCACCAATCGAGAAATCGTCTCGGAAGATATCCAGGACTTTGAGTATACACCCAAACCGGAATTCGAAGGCCCTTTCATCATCTTCAATGAGGCGAACGAAGAAGCAGTAATCGAGCGCTTCTTCAGCTGCATAAAAGAGGCTCGACCGACCATTATGGTCACATACAACGGTGACTTCTTCGACTGGCCTTTTGTAGAAGCTCGCGCGAGTGTGCACGGCATCGACATGTACCAAGAAATTGGCTTCCGGAAAAACAGTGAAGACATCTATCAATCAACGCACTGCGCGCACATGGACGCTTTTGCTTGGGTAAATCGAGACTCCTATTTGCCGCAGGGCAGTCGAGGTCTGAAGGCTGTGACTGTAGCGAAGCTTGGTTACGACCCCGATGAGCTCGATCCTGAATTGATGACTCCATACGCCCAAGAACGACCCCAGACACTTGCGGAGTACTCTGTGTCCGATGCTGTGGCGACCTACTACTTGTACATGAAATATGTGCATCCATTCATCTTTTCATTGTGCACGATTATTCCTCTCGGACCAGACGATGTACTGCGGAAAGGAACTGGAACCTTGTGCGAGATGTTGCTCATGGTACAGGCATATCAGAAGGAGATTGTGCTACCCAACAAGCATGTTCAGCCTCGAGAGTCGTTCTGGGAGGGACACCTACTGGAGTCAGAGACCTATGTCGGAGGCCACGTTGAAAGTATTGAATGCGGTGTCTTCAGAAGTGACATACCAACGAACTTCGCTGTCGACACGACTGCCATCGACGAGTTGCTTGAGGAACTCGATGATGCTTTAAAATTCACGATCACAGTCGAAGAGAAGAAGTCGATGGACGATGTGGAAAACTACGACGAGGTGAAAGCCCAGATTACAGATCGACTCCAGAAGCTCAGAGCGACACCAAATCGGAGCGAGCGACCATTGATCTACCATTTGGATGTCGCGTCCATGTATCCGAACATTATGACCACCAATCGACTACAGCCCGACAGCATGATCGACGAATCTGCTTGCGCCGCTTGCGACTTTAATCGACCTGGAAAGACCTGCGATAGGCGAATGCCATGGTCTTGGAGAGGTGAATTTCTTCCTGCCAAACGAGATGAATACAACATGATTCGACATGCATTAGAGAACGAAAGATTTCCCGGCAAGTTTGCGAACAGCCTGTCCCGCTCATTCCAGGATCTGAATCTTGATGAGCAGACTTCTTTCGTTAAGAAGCGTCTCACTGACTATAGCAAGAAAATCTACCACAAGATACACGATACCAAGACGATCGAGCGAGAAGCGATCATCTGCCAGCGAGAAAATCCTTTCTATGTCGACACCGTGAAGGACTTCCGTGATCGACGCTACGATTTTAAAGGCAAGCAGAAGGTCTGGAAAGGCAAGGCATCCGATCTTGAGAAAGGCGGCGCATCCAAAGACGAGGTCGATGAAGCAAAGAAGATGATCGTGCTATTCGACTCGCTACAGCTTGCTCACAAAGTCATTCTGAACTCTTTTTACGGGTACGTCATGCGAAAGGGCTCGCGATGGTACTCCATGGAAATGGCAGGTGTCACTTGCTTGACTGGCGCGCGAATCATTCAGATGGCACGAGAACGAGTAGAGCGACTAGGTCGACCACTGGAGCTGGATACCGACGGTATCTGGTGCATCCTGCCTGCCACGTTCCCGGAGAACTTTGCGTTTAAGCTGAAGAATGGCAAGAAGATGACAGTATCGTACCCTTGCGTGATGTTGAATCATCTGGTGCATGCGCGCTTCACGAATCACCAGTATCAAGAGCTGGTTGATCCATCTACCTTCAAATATGAGACCCACAGCGACAACACCATCTTCTTCGAAGTCGACGGTCCATACAAAGCGATGATCCTGCCAACATCGAAAGAAGAGGACAAGAACTTGAAGAAACGATACGCTGTCTTCAATGATGATGGATCGCTGGCAGAGTTGAAAGGATTTGAAGTGAAGCGGAGAGGAGAGCTCAAACTCATCAAAATCTTCCAACAGCAAATCTTCAAGTTCTTCTTGGAGGGCAGCACTCTTGAGGAGGTCTACCACGCCGTTGCCAAAGTTGCCAACAAGTGGCTTGATGTGCTCCATTCCCACGGCAGCACGCTTGCAGACGAAGAGCTGATCGACCTCATTTGCGAGAATAAGAGCATGTCGAAAACGCTGGAGGAGTATGGTCAGCAGAAGTCCACTGCGATCACTACGGCAAAGCGTCTGGCAGAGTTTCTAGGCGAGCAGATGATCAAGGACAAAGGCCTCAACTGCAAGTACATCATCTCCGCCAAGCCGAAGACTGCGCCTGTCACCGAGCGCGCCATTCCAGTGGCCATCTTCTCCGCTGACGAGAGTGTGAAACGCTACTACTTGAAAAAATGGCTGCGAGAAGAGCCCAGCTCACTCGATCCACGAGACATCCTCGACTGGGGCTACTACCTTGAGCGCCTGGGCTCCCAAATCCAGAAGCTCATCACCATACCTGCCGCATTGCAAAAGGTACGCAATCCATGTCCGAAGGTGCCGCACCCGGAATGGCTAGAAAGGAGAATTCGGATGAAAGACGATGTATTCAAGCAGGTGAAGATGACAGACATGTTCTCAAAGCGACCTCTTGCGGAGCGCGATGCAAATGCTGTTCCTGCTCGAACTGGAGGAGATTTGGAAGACTTTGGAGCGACACCTATGAACAAGCTTAAGCCTGCTGCAACAGCAAAGCTTATTAGCAGCCAGAAGAGGAAGAACCGCGAGGAGCCTGCGCCTGCTGCCGTCAATCCCTTTGACGCTCTTCCAAAAGATATGCCAAGCATCACTGAAGACTACCAAGGTTGGCTAAAATACCAAAAGCAGAAATGGAAGATACAAAAAGCTGCTCGAAAGAGGCGACGACAACTCTTCGGTGAGAAGCGAGCTGATGCTAACGATGCAATTGGAACGTTCTTCCGCAACCAAGCCGAATTGCTATACACAACAGACTGGCAAATCCTTCAGTTACGGGACACAGACATCGCTGGTGAGGTCAAAGCATTCGTGCTGATTGACAAAAAGGTGCATCAGCTCAAGGTTGTGGTGCCTCGACAAGTTTACCTCAATCTGAAGGAAGACGACCTGCCAGATGTGGACATCAAGGGCGTTCAGGCCGAGAAGGTCATCAACCACACTCTGCCGAATGGACACTCTTCAACGCACCTTTTCAAGCTCACCATGCCTGAGCAGGTCTACGTCAAAGAAAGCGAACAACTGGCAGTACTGTTCAATCATCATGCCGTCGAAGGTGTCTACGAGCGACAACTGCCTCTCAACGTTCGTGCTATGCTGCAACTTGGCTCTGTCTGCACATTTGACGAGTCGCAGCGAGGCGTGCTTGGCAAAGGTCTGGAGCAGGGTTTCGATCTGTCAGCGTTGCACACTCTCCAACCGAAGAAACCATATATGACGGAGGCCAATTTCAGCTATCTTGCTCTTTATCACATCAGTGCTGGCGATAGACAGATCTATGCACTGTTCAGCTCGACGAAGGCCGAAGCGAAGATCATCGTGCTCAACCGCGCACGGAGTGAGCAAGGCATGCCAAATGTCGATCGCGTATATGAGGAGCTGCTGAATGCCAAACTGGAAGAGACTGGAGGGCAACCGTGGCAACCGACCTTTGATTATCAAGAGAGCATCCACTTCAAGACAGTGCAAGTCACTACTCAGCGAAGAGCCTTGCAGGAGCTCGGGGATGCCATCAAGAAGATTCAAAAGGAGGAAACCCTTCCAATCATGCTTGTGCTACAGTCGCATTCTGCAACTATGCTCGTGCATGATCTGCCGATGTTGCAAAATTTACCCTCGCTTAGATTGAAGGCGAATGAGACGGACAAGCAGCTCCCTCCGTTGGGCTGGCAGTCGATTGTTGCTAGGAGGCTGGTGAGCCATTACCTCGACCTGGGACTTTGGATTAGCCACCTGCTTGAGTTTGCACGGTACGGCAACGTGCCTTTGGGAAACCTCGAAGTGGACGATCCTCGCTTCCTGATCGACATTGCGTACGCTCGACGGCTACAAAAAGAGAAAGTTGTGCTGTGGTGGTCGCAAGACGCTAGGCCAGACCATGCTGGGCATGAACGCGACGATGTTTTGAGTGGAATGGAAGTCGTAGAGATGCCTGCCATCAACACTCCTGGAACTTATTCATCAGTCTGCATCGACCTTAGTGTCAAGAATCTCGCGATCAACACCATCCTCTCCTCAGCAGTGCTTAATGATGCTGAAGGAGCTGGCGCTGATCCTCTCGGCATCTCTGGTGCTGGAGCGAAAGAGGACGCGCTCGACGAGACAGCACAGACTATTCAATCTGAGAATGCTTTCGCTGCTGCTGGAATCAGTGCACTACGAGAGATGGTTCGAGCATGGTGGCAGGAAGCCTGTAACAGCAAGACCCAGAACAGCATGGCAGATGTGCTAGTTCAGCACTTGCTTCGCTGGATCGAAAGCCCGAGCTCGCATCTCTACGATCGCAACTTGCACTACTACGTGCAAGTCATGAGCAAGAAAGCGTTCCAGCAGCTCATCAACGAATTCCGCAGAGTTGGATCACACGTTGTCTTTGCCAATGCTGGTCGTCTACTACTGCAAACCAGCAAAGCGGAAGTTGGTAACGCATATGCGTACAGCGAATACATTCTGAAGACTATCAGCCAGCGGCCAGCATTCCACTTTTTGGATCTGTCAATCACCGAGTTCTGGGATTATCTCGCCTGGCACGACGAGTTCAATTATGGTGGCAAAGGCTGCGAGAAAGTCGTTGATGAAGACTCCCCGCAATTGCAATTGATCATGCACTGGCAGATGGCCACCTTCCTCCCACCAATCTTGCAGCCCACATTCGAGCAATGGATCGTAGAGTACATCGAGCTCATGCACGCCCGCAAACGGCCAGCCGGGCTGAACAACGGCAGCACACCCAGACCCACGCAACTCCCAATCCACGCCGCAATCTTCCAATCCGAAACAGACGACCAAACCACACCCGGCAACGTCCTCTCCAAAACCTTCAGCAAACCCCTCAAGAAACAAATCGCCCAGCTCATCCAACGCCAACGCACAGAATCCATGCATGAAGAACTCGTCCCGGACTGGACGTTCCCAACCCAACCCGGCTCTCATCTCAATCTTCAAAACCCTGTCCTCGAACTCGTAAAAAGCATCAACGAGGTTCTGTGCCTAGACAAAACAATCTCCCTCGAAGCCCGTCTCCTCCGAAAAGAGCTCTTGCACTTATTCGAAATTCGCGAGTTCAGTCCCGATGGAAATTGGATCGATCCTTCCGCCTCTTTACCTATAAAACAAATCTCTTGTCCAGAATGCTGTGTCCCCAAAGACATCGACTTGTGCAAAGACATGGATCTCGCCGTCATCGATCCTTCCGACCCTTCTGGCTCCGCGTCATTAGTCGTCAAATGCAGCAATGCCGACTGTGGTACTGTCTTCGATCGTTTGGCCATTGAGGAGAGGTTACTCGCGGATGTGCAGAAGATGGCGGTTTTGTGGATGACGCAGGATTTGAAGTGTGCGAAGTGTGGACGTATTCGAACGAATGAGTTTATGGAACATTGTGGTTGTGCGGGGGAGTGGAGGAATACGGTTGATGGGAAGAGGTTGAGGGATTTTTTGGGGACTTTCGGGGCTGTGAGTAGGTTTTTTGGTATGAGGATGTTGGAGGTGGTTGTTGAGGGGCTTATGGGGAGTTTGTGAGGTGGGTAGGATATGGATATGAACGTGTGGTGGCGTTTTGGGAAATCGGGAGGTTTGCATATCGCATGAGAAAGCGAAGAGAGATGGCGTTGATGAGATGGAGTGCATGATGCACCTGCTTAGTTGATACATGAGAAGCCAAATGATACCAACGTCGTACAGCTTATGCTCCTGTCAAGCCGAACAAAGATGTTTCCATTGGACTGTGATCAATTCGAAGCAGTCGAAATGTCATTAACATGATAATGTGCAACTCAAACTCGAAGATTTTGGCGCAAGAGATGTCCAAGCTGGTCTGGAGGGTCGGAATTCATCGGGCCTGAGCGCCAATGGAGCAAAACAGTGCAAGATTCAAATCTAGAGATCGCCTCTTGGAGTCTGGAGGCCACCCATACGAGGCTATATAATGGACACGCTTGCTCGAATGCTTCGAAGAGAATGAGCTTGAAGATTGTGATGAGAGCTTTGAGCTCGTTTCGATGGTGTGAGGGCTTCTCGAAAGCTCGAATTCATTCTTAGGGGTTTTTGATCCTTATTCAGCCTCTCCTCTGCACTCAGCTCAGCTTCATCTCCGCCAAAGACTTCAGCAATCGCAGACCGGCTTCTCGAAACTCAATATTCGATTTTCTTTGCGTACTGTTCAATCACGCATTCAATCTGGTTGAGGAGTATGAAGAGGAGATTGGGGATTTTATTGACGGAGAGGGTTAGGGAGAATTTGCCGCATGATGAGTAGTATATGAAGAAGTTTAAGATTTGAGGGTTGTCGGAGATGGTTGACATTGGTTGTTTCGAAATTTGAAGCATGGCCATGTTGGGGTTGTTTGCAATTGTTCCTTGAATTAATAGAGATCGTTAATAGAATCAAGCTGTTTGCTTATTAACGAATTATAAGATCGATATACGAGGATCCTTTCGATAGTCGATAGTCACATCGGAGGGCCTGTGAAGTAATCCCACAAGAGCGTAGACTTGGTCTATATCCCGCGTAGCTTCAAAGTTTCGTAGACAATTCAACGCCACGTGGAGTGAGACCCGGAGACGGGGAATACTATCATTGTTGCTGCGCCCGTTTGAGCACAGGCAGGAGTTTGGAAGAACTTGAGGGGAGTGCTATTTATTATGCGTGCGCTCCTTTCTGCCATCTCGGCGGAGTGGCGAGATCTCTCGGTCAGTGGACACCTTCACTCAGCTCCATCACCCAGGAGGCTTCTCTATTCCTGGAACTAGTCGACGCTTGACTCTGATCATCTGCTTATCGCTGGGCACTCTCGCTTCTCCAATCTCAAAGAGTTCTGGCTTCTTCTCAAAAGGTTGTATATCGTGATGCACAAGGAGATAACCCAGCATCAGCTTCATGGTGTGCACGGCGAAGAAGCGACCAGGGCAAGCGTGTCTGCCTAGGCCCCAGGAGAGGAATTGAGAATTGATCTGCACGGCGCCTTTTCGCTTTCCGGCTTCTGCCACGCTCTCGTCCTCTGGCAGCCCATTGTCTTGTGCTTGGCGATGATGGCGTAGCGGATCATATTCATCCGCGCTCGATCCGAAGAGGTCCACGTCCCGTTGCATAGGACCTATGGTGCACTGGATATGGGAGCCCTGGGTGAGATAGAGCCCATCCGGTGTCGTCACGCCACCGGGCGCTACAACTTCCCGAGCCATGCCCTGCGCTCCCATGGGATTGAATCGCAAGCTTTCGCGAATCACCGAGTCAAGTTTTGTCATGGATCGAATAGCAGTTGCATCGTGCTCCACAAGCGGCATATAATGCTCGGCCTCCTCGCGAAGCTCTGAGAGTAGATCTGATGCGTTCTCGTATGCGAGTATATCCGTTAGTACGACTCCGGCCATCGTCGACGTTGTTGCGGTAGCAAAGATGTTGAACAAGATCAATTTACCAGCAATGTTAGCTGGTTCTAACTCCCGTGGGTCTTGTTTCTGGCAATTGGTGTCGATGATCCATTGCAGCATGTCATTCGGCTTCTCATCTTCGGCCAGCATTTTCCCGTTGGCTTGGCCTCGAGCTTCCAGCGTTGCGAGTCTTTCCCTAATCTTTGGTCGCAAATGCCGCGTGGCCCACCACTGCATTAACCTCGCTGGTACCGATACCATCGGCATCAGACTCGGCTGCAGCACTTTTGGAATCAGGAAAGCCATGATGATAGTCGATATGCCGAAGCACGAGGTCCATCGCATCACGTCTTTTTCGTACCCAGCGTCGCGACACAAAGGCAAGCCGACAAAAATGCGGTTGGCAGCGCGGAAAGAGACACAACTGAGGAGCTTGGTGGCAGAAAAGTCATTCCATTCCTCGCCGTCAAATCGCAGCTTCTCGTCAAAGGCATGCTGAATCTCTTCCAGAACCTGGTCGCTCAGCCTGGTGATTTGTCTTGTGAGGTCGCGACGGATGACCGAGAAATCCAGGACCGAATCGGCGTTGGGCCCATGTAAAAGCCATTCAGGTCCCATCACGTCTTTCAAATTCTTGTTCCCGCTGAGAACGGATTCGGGCTGTTGGGCTACCCAAGCGGAGCTGGATGGTGGGAGCACGATAGCGCTCCAACGCAGAGCCGGAGTGATGAATGGCAGTCCATACCTGCTGTACTTGTCGTAGCCTTCATTGACGGGCCCTCGACCAGCGCTGAGCTCTCGGAGGCAGGCACGAAGTTTGGGAAAGATTCTCTTGTTCTGGAGACCGGCCCATGCAATGTCTTGTCGTTCTCGCGAAATTCGAATTGAGACTTGGATGACGAAGATTGCCACGACGGCGAGGATGAGAGCCAGCAATGCTGCGATGGAGTAGTAAATGTAGAATGCATAGGGATGAAGCAAGAGCCTCCCAATGTAATGGAAGCAAGTCTGGAGAATGGACGGGAACTCCATCAGGCAGTAGTGGTGGTGGTGGTGTATCAGCAAGATATTGTTGGGTGAACTTCCACTCACCTAGCCTAGCAGCGCACGCTCGACTTCATATACCCACGAGCCAGGTCCAGGCAAGAGTTCTGTTACACGCATGAGCGCATGGCCAAGGCTGAGCCGCCACTCATATCATATCCAAGCCAAAGATGAGGTTCGGGTTCGGCCCGCTGAACGAGCTTTCGCGTTCGCTTTCAATTCTGTTTCGTCCTTTCTTCTGCATCAACGAATACGAAAAATCGATGCAATTCCGCCCGAAGCTATGGGCCATCCTGCGTATTCGTAGATTCGATCAAGGCTATGTCAAGATGCTGGATTCCTGAGTCACCATCGAGGACATGTAGGGACTTCTCACATGACACCCTCCTGAGCCATGTCTGCGCCTATCCGGGAGATGGTCGATCCAAAGCATTTCGGAGTCTGCGATGCCACCCTGCTGTGGTGCGACTAGGCCTCCGATCTCAGGCTTCCGCAAAATGTCAAGGGCGTTGATTGCTTATACAGGAATCCCGGAAGAAGAATGTGTGACGTTACTCATTCCAGCCTCCATCGCCATTGCAGAATCGCCAAATTCACACACATTCGGAGAGTAACATCGTCTGACTGTTGCTGGCAGCAAGCAACTGGCCTCCAAATCGTGCCTGGTCCAAGTCTGGTCATCGTACAGGGAGTCTGCGCCTAGAATCGGCGCGCAGAGCAGATAGCACGCGGAGACGAGAAATTGATATGGTTGCCAGAAAGTCGTCGCCAGGAAAGATTGGGGCGCAGAGTCGTAGATGAGCTGCTGAACATTCATGGCTCGCCCGGTCTGCGTATAGAAGGCACGAAGGAAGCCGCACACCCTTTCCGCTGCGTCGTGTCCGAACATGTGGATCAATACAGACTCGTTTGCGCCCAACCACCGAATGTCGCCATTCTCATGGGTCGAAATGGTAGATGCATCTCTTGTTGTTCCAGCGAGTGTTTCCATTTTGGCTCCTGGATATCTCCGTCTGTACGCATTGGTGTACACTTCGATCTCGTCTCTCGACGCGCCTGGCCATGCCGCGAGAACCACAACATCAGGTCCGATCATGGTGTCTTTATTCACGCGTAGCTTTCCATGGACGTGTTTCTTGATTCTGACGGAGTGAGGTCGGCATTATTTCGAGGACCAAAAGCACTCTTGCAATTCATCATCGGGTGCTACTGTCCATCATCCACGGTCCCGAACGGATCCCCTCTGCATGTCCGGCACCAAACACGCCACTGCGGGATCAGCCGTCTCTTATTCAAGACTTTGGCTCCTGATCCTGCAGCCACTAGAATACTTGAGTCTACTTCGTCTCTGCAATCTGCATCGTCACCTCACGCGTAACACGAGATGGAGCTTCCGCCCAGAACTTCACCGGAATCGAAGGCTTCAGAAGCGAATGCAATCAGCGACGCTAGTCTCTGTTGCGTAAAACCTGGTGGACTCGTATCAAATATCGATTGCTGGATGGATGGATTCAGCTCAGCCTCTTCTAGACAGTCTCTCCTCACGTAAGATGTGCGAAACGCTGATCAACGACGGTGAGAACCATTATACATACTTGATCTTTCGACTTTGCTGCTGTATTGTTATTCGAGAAGCATAGCCTTCAATTCTACGAGACCGCCCAGCAAATTGTCTCACCCTTTCCCGCTGTTGCTCGTGCACCTCCAGGTACACTACAGCCTCCATACCAAACATCCTCAATCTCCCATCTCACTAACATTCTAGCCCATCCCCCAAAAATGCCCCTCACCTGCAACTCCTGCACCGCATCATTCACCAAACCCGAGCATCTCGAACGACACATTCTTATCCGTAAGTGCCATCAATCCTATATCCCAGATATCTAAAATCCCACTAACACCGCACCCCCCCTCCCTTCCCAGACACGAACCCCAAACCTTTCACATGTCTTCAATGCCATAAATCCTTTTCACACCGAGACGCATTGAAACGACATTACGAGGAATCTCACGAGGAGAAAGCTTCTTCCAGTCGTCGTATCCCCGTGGTGAAAACCTTCACAGCATCTCCCACCACCACCAATTACCCACAAGTTTTCGCGTATGGACTTCGTCCACCACTCAACTTCCGAATCCCTTCGACTTCAACTTTCGAGGGTGGTATGGCAGATCTTACGAAATATATGCTTTCCACTGCACATCCACATCCGGAGGAAATCTCTCCTTCGTCGGGTTTTTGCTCTTCTGCATATCCGGATATTGCGATACGTCCGTTGCCGACGAAGACATTAGGATGGTCGGATCAGAGGGTGAAGCAGAGAGGTGGTGTTTAGGATTGAATAGGTAATTTAGATAAATGAGAGGGATGAGGATGAAGTAGATGTTTGGGAGATTTGATTTGAGTTGATTTGGTGATTGGGAAATGGTTAGGATTTTTGATACCTACTATCACGATTGAATGAAGAAGAGGGAGAGGTAGAGTTGCTAGTGACTACCCTGGAATGATGAAAAAAATAATAATAATAATATTGATCTACTACTACGATGTCTATGAGGAACTTGAGGAAATCTTTAAGCAGCACCAACAACTTCAAACCCTTTCCAACCATCCATAGTCGCTCTCACTTGAGCTTCATACCTAGAAAAAAAAGCGCCAAGTTAGCATATCCATCCTCTCGCGCGCGATGACAAAACTCACAGATCAATCCCCGCAATATACGACATATTCTCCGCCTTCTTCCCCGGAATATTCGAGCCATTCCACCACGAATCCGTAAAAGGAAAAAGCGTATGCTTCGTCATCTCATTCAAAGAATTTTTCCACGCAATTTCCGCTTCCCGGCGAGGCTCAATACTCTTCGCGCCTTCGGCTTCAAGTTTCTTGATGAAATCTACGATGGTTTCGACTTGGGATTCGATGATGGTGGGACCGTTGGAGAGCGCGGTGGGGGCTTGAGGGGTGTAGGCCATGAACATGTTGGGGAAGCCGCCCACGGTGATTCCGAGGTAGGTATTGACGCCTTGGGCCCAGATGTCTTTGATGTCGATGCCGGACTTGTTTTTGAGACCCATTTTGGTGATGGAGCCGGTGAAGCTGTCGAAACCGGTGGCTAGGACGACGGCGTCGAAAGTGTACTCTTTGTCATCTGACATGAGCATACCTTTTTCTGTGAACTTCTTCAATGGAGATGCGTTGAGGTCGTGGATGTAGACGTTGGGTCGATTGAGGACATCGTAGTAATCCTGCTCGAGCGGACTGCGCTTGGTGCCGAAGTAATATGGCTTCTTGGGAGGTGCCATGATTTTGTTCTTCTCCGGATCCGTGAGGCGCTCGCAGACTTTCTTTCGCCACCACTGATACTGGATCTCATTGGATTCCGGATTGACGACGGTATCGTTGAAACCGGATAGTTGGAAATGAAAGCCGCCAGTGTTCCACATACGTTCAAAGTGTTCTTCACGCTCTTCTTGGCTGACTTCTTGCACACCCTGCTCGCGTCGATTCGATGGGAAGCCAACAGCGGAGTTTCGGCCTTCTTTGAACAGAGCTTGATAGTAGGGTCGCAGCTGATCCTGTTCAACCTTGGTCAAATCTCGCTGTTGCATCGGCAAACAATAGCTGGGTCTTCGCAGGAATACAGTCAGCTGGTCTGCTTGCTTGCCGAGTTCTTGAGTGATCTGCACAGCAGTAGCGCCAGCTCCAATCAGTCCGATCTTCTTGCCTTTGGGATTGAAATCTTCCGGCCAAGCACCGGAGTGATAAATCTCTCCTTTGTAATCGCTCAGGCCTGGAAAGTCTGGTGTATATGTTCGATGAAGTAAACCTGTGCACAGGATGAGGTACTTGCCCTCTGCGACGTGACCCTGCTGAGTCTTGATTCTCCAAACGCCCTTCAATTCGTCGCGGCGAGCATCGCTGACTCTCGCATTGAAGTAAGTGTCTTTCCGAAGGTTGAGAGTCTTGTCGATATGTGCCATATATTTTCGCAGTTCTTGATGCCCAGGGAAGCGCTCTGAGAAGTTATAGGTCTTGTACACTTCCGGGATGTTCAATTGATAGAATGGCATTTCCGAGTCGACGCGAGCACCGGGATATCTGAAATCGTCAACATTTGTCTCGTTTACGGCTTTGATCTTCAGCTGACCTGTTCCAGTACCACACGCCACCGAAGTCCTCTCCAGATTCAAAACATTTGACTGTCATGCCCTCCTTCCTGAATCTGTGAATGGCTGTGATGCCAGAGAATCCAGCACCGATCACGAGCACATCTGCTTTGATCGTACTTTGCCCATCAGGTCCAGTCGTTGCTGCTTCGCGTGTGAATTCATGGACCTCAGGATGCCCTCCATGTGGCTGGTCTGCTACCACCGGGACCTCGCCATTGAGGTAGTCCACAGTCTCAGGTTGTGACATGGTGAGTGTGGGTGAGATGGGTAAGGCTCAAGAAACGAGGTAAGGCTAGTGGTCTTGCTATATCAGTTCTGATAAGGAGAGTGAATACCGAGCTCGACGATGTAGTTGGCGCTTGACTTGCCTTGGGAGATGCAAGAGACTAGGATTGTGATCCACGGAGCAGGGCTGAGTGTGTATAGGACTATCCAAGGAAGGTGATGACTACACCCACCGTTGGCATTGCTCATAAACGAAACCCCGCACATAGCAGTGGACCATGGTAAGATGGGTCTTCGGGATGGCGCGGCGCCCAGAGTACTTGTATGTACTTCATCCGGGGCGGCTAAGGTGGCAGGTTAGGGAGGCCCATACGTACCAGATTGTCAATACAGCACTTCTGACCGTAGCGATAACAACGCAATCTTTGCCCCTTTAAGTTCTTTTTGATATATCTTTTTATATAGAGGAGTTATAGCTTAATAATATAGGGCAAAGATACTCTAAATTGTATCTATTTTTAGAAAATAATAAAATATTATAGTCGTTACCTATCGAAATATAGGCTATATAGCCTAAAATTCTATTTTAGAAGTTTAACAGTTTTAGCATTTTTTAGGCCTTAGTATACTATTTTTAGTAATCTAAAGTGTAGATTTTATAGTTGAACCTTATAAAAATCTAAATTTAAATTTATATATTAGTATAGAAATTATTAGTAATACAATCTAGAAAGGAATATTATTTTCTTACTATATTCTCTTTAGTTTATCTTTTTATTTAGAAGAGTTATAGCTTAGTAATATTAGACAAATATACTTTAACTTTTATATATTTTTAGAAAATAACTAAAACTATTATAGCTATCTACTAAGATTAGCCTAAAACTCTTAAATAAAGATTTTAAGATTTTAGTATTTATTAAGCCTTAGTATACTATTTTTAGTAATCTAAAACCTAGACCTAAGAGTTTTACCTAGTATAAATATAGAATGAGATTCTTATCTTAATACGCTTACTATTAGTCTTAAAATCCTAAAGCGAATATTCTTAAGAATTGTAGGCTTAGTAATTTAAAGTTTACAATTCTTAAGAATATTCTTTTCTAAGTTATAAGACTATTTATGGCTTAATTAAAGTAAAAGCTCTGATATAGATTTCTACTAGGTAAAAATATTAGGTTTAGGGTTTAGATTACTAAAAATAGTTTACTAAGGCTTAATAAATACTAAAATCTTAAAATCTTTATTCTAGAATTTTAGGCTAATCTTAGTAGATAGCTATAGTAATTTTAGTAATTTCCTAATACTAGTTTAAAAATAGAGTTTTTTTGTCTTATATTACTAAGCTATAACTAGTCTAAAGAAAAAGATATACGAAAGGGAATCTAAGAAGAATTTAAGTTTAAACTCTAGATTATATAACTAATAGTAGCTATATTACGAGAAAAACCTCAAAATAGATTTTAATTAAGTAAAACTATAGAACCTACGTTTTAGATTACTAAAAATAGTATATTAAGACTTTAAAAAACGCTAAAATTCTAAAATCTCTAACTTAGAGTTTTAAGCTATATAGCTTATTAATTTAGGAGGCAACGACTAGAAATTTTGTTGTCTTCCAGAAATATACATAAATTAGAGTATCTTTGTCTTATATTATTAAGCTATAACTCCTCTAGATAGAAAGATATATTAAAAAGAACTTGTAGGGGCAAAGATTGCGTTGTGAATTCTTCATTGACAATCTGGTATATATAGAGCTCCGTCGCAGGTCTTGCGAGAACACATGATGCAGCAGGAGAGCCGAGGCGCTGCTCTTCCATCATGACTCCACGACGACGAGCATACCGCAATTGATGACAAGAGCAGGAGATGAGGTCGAAGGCATGCTTGGCTCCGACCCATACCCACGTCCACGATCTCCGGAAGAAGCATCTCCTGACGAACTCGCCTCGCCCTCTTGACCTGGGAATCCAAACGAAGATACTCATCCGCATCGAATTTTCAAAAAGAGTCGGAAGCTGGGGTCGTATCACATACTCAAGCCAGCAAGCTGCTTATGGAGGGTAAAAGGCTGCGAGAGACTATGTCAGGCAGAAGCAGCGGGCAATGAGGATTGGGAGAAGAGCGCGTTCTTTTTTGGCAAGAAGACACATGTGCAGATAGACGATATGACAGCGCGATGAGTGCGAATCAGACGAACTTGGCGCATTCATGAGTCACGATATCGCCATGCCCGCCTCTGGCAAGAACGTAGGCTGCGGAACAGTGACTTGCTTGCGTTGGCATTGGAGAATGGATGTTCAAGAAGTAAAGAGTGCCAGCTGGTATAATGTGGTCCCACGAGCTGGGCCGTCAGCAGAATCAAAGATCTGTCCAACTCGGATACGATTACAATGGCAGCGATCTGGAAGGGACGGTAAGTCAAGCATTGAGTACGATTCATGGGTATCTATTTCATGCTTCCTGGAGCCTTCAAATCTCTGTCGATATCACTCACGAGAGCAGACCGGTAGAAAACTTAATAATCCACCCGTCGCCCTCTCGCTCACCCTTGGCATTCAAACCACCCCAGACCACGACTGCGTCTTTCTCAGGTACAACATCTGCGCCAAAGAATGCTCGCGGTCCCGGGTGCACCTTGCCTTCACCTACCACGAGATCACCCGGTGGCAGCACTTCGACTTCCGCCCAGCTCCGCTCGCCAGAATCAAAGCCAAGCTTCTCACGAATGACATCTTTGATCTTGGACGGCTTGATGGCTTCGGTAATGCTGAATGTGGGCTTGGCTTCGGGGCTGGAGGATTGGATCTGGTATGTCCAGCTGTCAGACCATTGAGTAGGGTCTTCGGTTTCTTTCGGAGATGCTGTTTTGGTGGTATTTGGGTCCTGTCTGGCGCCGAAGAAGTAGAAAAGATAGTTACGACCATAGCCAGTGGAAATTGGCAGGAGTCCACCTCCTACACGCGGTCTTGGTCCAGGTGTGAGGGGATTTGTTGGGAAGGGTGCAGTGGACCACGTGGCCTCTTTCTCGCCCGAAGGATCGATGTGCAAAGAGTGCACGTTGCTCGACATGTGGTCACTTCCATCGATCAGATACAGCACACCCTCGTTTAGTGCTGCGTTCGACGTCGAGACTGGCGCACTGGGTAGAGCTGCCCATTGCTTTCCAGTGTATGAGTAATACCAGACGTCCTTGAGAGGTTTGCCATGCGCGTCATTACCGCCATACAGGACCAAGTTGTTGTTGCAGTCGAATAGCTTGGCGTCACTTCTTTGGGCTGGCGAGATGGTTCCTTCAGCGGTCAGACACTCCCATGCAGACTTGCCAGTCACGTAAAGCCAAATCTTTGGCTCAGTATCGACGAGCTTTCCCTTTCCGTCAAGTCCGCCAAAGATAGCTACGCAGATGTTGAAGGCACACGCTGCATGTCGCGTCCTGGCAGTTGGTACTGGCTGTCCTTCCACATCCGCCACAGCAGGCAGGACAGAATAGTCTGGCTCGGGTGTGCCGTGTGAAGGATGACTCAAGGTAACGGCATGGATCTCATTGCTTGCGAGCTTGTCTGAGGCCGTCTCGCCGCCAAAGATGTACGCTTTGTTCTTGACGACCGTTACTGTGTGGTTTGAACGAGCCAGTGAGAGTCTGCTCAAATCAGCATTAGACGTCAAGCAGATGCTTCCATTTGCTGACCTCGTCTCATCATCTTTTGCAGTTGCGATCTGCGTGAACTGTGCCTTCAAAGGCAGGGTACTCTTCCCACTGCATAGCGAGTCAGCCATAGCCCATTTAGCCTTGCAGTATCCATGCGTACACCATGTAGCCTGCCACGCCGGCCTCCACGGCGGTCTGTGCCGCTTCGTATGCGACTACGCCGCCTGCAGCTACTGCGCCTGCTTCTGCCATTGCTGCTTTTTGGATTGAGTTGTCAAGATCAGTTGTGTGTCAACAACGCTGAAGGTAGCACAAATGACATCATCTGCGATTGACCCTGAAAGAGAAAGAACCGTGCGCTGCATGTCGTTCTCACATGCCTCGATTGTCCAGGGTCCAGGGTCAACATCCTCATGCCATTCATCGACATATGTGTTCCCTTGTCGATGCCTCGGAGCTGCTTTATGGCACGTATAGTGCCAAGCTACACAAGTAGTGATGGGGTCCACCAACCTGTGGATGGTGTACACGCTCTATAATACACTATGTATACGACCCTTTTAGGCGAGCTCGTTGTGTATATATAAGGCGGAGTTATCGGATACGTTGATATCCCGCCTATAACCCGCCAAGCTGCTTAATATTGCTCGGATATCCTGGTATTCGGGCATACCCGATGTGTATCTATGGGTGTACACTAGTATAATATACGATGTACACAACCTCCATTTCTCAGGGGCTGTAAACCCACAACACTATACACAAGACCGCAGTCACGGTGAGCTCGCCTACGCCAAGGGGTGAGTCATCACTTTCACCGGCTCACTCACTTGCGAACCTGCATCTGGATTCAGTATCCAGGCACAAGCTCCGCGTAGGGGGGCAGCTTGAGACCCGAGTTCCGAGACGTGGCTACATATTTAGATGAAGGAAGTCACGAACACAGCCTGAGAAGGAGGCAGTCTGGATTCGGGCAGCTCAAGTCATGACCCAGTCGCGATTGTCAGAACACTTCGCAAAGCCAGAATCGTTGGGCATAAAAGTCAAATCATCCATATTACTCCTGGACGGCAGTGGTCAAGCGACACACTTGAGGCCCCCGGCGAAGCGTTCAATAGAATACATCTACAGATCAACTCGCTACAATGAAGGACCCAAAAGCTTCCCCGAATACCTTCCACTTCCTCAATCTTCCACCAGAGCTTCGAAACAGGATCTACGACATCAACCTGTCCGTTGGCCGGCCTGTAGTTCTTAACGCCGTCGACCGTGATAGGCCCTTTCTGGCATGCTGCGTTTCTGACAGCGAGAGGGACTCCAACGCTGCGTGGTCTCGGTCTTGCTTCAACCCCAAGCTACTGCTCACATGCCGTAAAATCAACCTGGAAGCGACGAAGATCCTGTACGGAAACAACACCTTTTCTTGCACGCTTATCTGGCGCTTCGTAGCCTGGCTGGAGAGCATTGGTGGATCAGTGGTGCATGTGAGAAAGGTCGACGTTGGAAGTATCTCTCCTTTAATGAGAAGCTGGTTACCCACAAATGCAACACCTGACTTCGATCGCTTCCTGGAAGTGTTGCAAGATGCGACTGAGCTCGAACAGATGATCCTCGATGCGAAAGAGGTGATGAGTATCTGGCCGAATCCTCCTGACGCCGCGGAGAAATTCCGTGGCTTCCTGCTAGCTGTCAAGGAGTACCGCGAAGCGAGCGGCGATGTCTTCGACATCATCTGCTTGAAAGCATCGGGATCTGCAACCGATCCTTACTATCGCCGATTTTCAGAGGAGCCAGTTGCGAGATACCAGAGCCAGATGCGAGCAAAGCTGCGCGGTACAGCTGATTGAAGGAGATGGGCTTACTCCCGTTTGACTGTTCTGCTATCTCGCAACCCACCATTGTGCGCCGGATCAAGCGCACTTCCAGCGGTCGGGCATGATTCAAATCCCATTATAGTGATGTGTATGCTTGAATCGGAGAAGAGAGTTTTGGTGAACAATGCGGCATTCCATTGATTGCAAGCTGCAGACTGCACTGCTCGGCATAGTGTCTTCGTCAAGCCGTTGCGGATGTCTCTCGGGTTCGATCGCGCTGAGGCTTAAAGCTCACAGTCGCACGATATCGATCAGGAGTCACTGCTCTGAGTGTGCCATCGAAGGAAGTCTCTCACAATGCCAATCGTGGTCACGTGGTGTCGCGTCGATTGATCGGCTGGTCGGTTCTCTTGAGGAGCAGAAAGTAGTCGGACACCCGCACGGCCCTCTTTCATCAGCAGGGATCTCCATGGCTAGGGGGCCCGGCCCCGCCTTCACGCATCATCACGACATCTCCTCATCAATTGTCGCTATCCGCCGTATCACACGAGCTCAGCACGCCATCGACACCGGGGCTGCTCTATTTGAGCAGCCCAGCCTGGTTCCTGGCATGGTTGAGCTCGATCTTACGCAAGAAGCTTGCGAAATTATTCTGTCGAGCTCCCATTCAGAGCTGCCCGAATGCCCGCATTGCCTTGTCCCGATATAAGCTCTTGCCCTCGCCTGTGTCAAGATGGATCCCGTTCTTATCTACGGTCTGGCACTGCTCTTCTACACTACTCTCAGGACTTCTGAAGACTATCGCCTCGTCTCCAAACTGAGTCGGCTACTGTACCCTCAAACGATCGGCGGCAAGCCATTGATCGTTGACAATGGCACCAGTCGCAACCGAGTCGCCCATTGAACCGCCGCTGTTTAACTACCACAACCCGAACCCGAAGATCTTCCCGGATGGCATCAAAACCAGTGGGCAAACACATCCAGACTACTCGCAGATCAAGCCTTACGAAGACTTTCCTAAGGAGATCACTGGAGCAACGGTGTGGAATCGCGACGACTACCAACACAATCCAGAACGATGGGTGCATCGATTCAGCGATGAGGAGATCAAAGAAATGAACGATGCCGCAGATGCATTTCTCGCGTCCGGCACACCTATGACTGGTATCACAAAGGTAAGAGCGGTACACAGCATCCTTTACCTGAATACACGCTGAGATAGTCGGTCATAGGAGCAATTCCCACTCCCGAAATTCGCACCATTCCTCGAAAGCATGCGCAAAGAAATTCTCAACGGCAAAGGCTTCATCCTCTTCAAAGGCTTCCCGGTGCTTGAATGGGGCAACCACAAGACTGCTGTAGCGTACATGGGTCTCGGCACCTATCTTGGCTACTTTGTCTCTCAGAACGGCCTTGGACACGTATTGGGCCACGTCAAAGACACAGGCGCAGACCCGACACAAATCGACAAGGTCCGCATCTACCGCACAACAGCCCGCCAATTCTTCCATTCCGACGATTGCGATATCGTTGGTCTTGTCTGCATTGCGAAATCGCTGGAAGGTGGAGAGTCAGACATCGTAAGCGTACACCACGTCTTCAACACCCTTCAAAAAGAGCGACCAGATATCGTCAAGACACTCTGCGACCCGATCTGGTATTTCGATCGCAAAGGTGAAGTTTCCACGGGCCAGGAGCCCTACACTCGCCAACCGGTCTTCTACAAAGAGACTGGGGAGAACGGCAGAGTGTACTGCAAATGGGATCCCTACTACATCAAGAGCTTGACAAGATTCAGTGATGCTGGTGTCATTCCACCACTTTCTGAAGCGCAAAAGGAGGCAGCTCAGGTGCTTGAGGATACTTGCATGCGATTGTCGCTACATATGGTTTTGGAGATTGGAGACATTCAGTTCTTGAGTAATGCTCATGTTTTGCATAGCCGGACTGCGTATAAAGACTACCCTCCGCCAGCACCGAGACGGCATTTGATGCGTCTGTGGCTTGCTACGCCTGAGGATGAGGGTGGTTGGAAGCTGCCATTTGCGGATTCGAAGCATAAGAAGCGGGGTGGTGTGCAGGTTGATGATACGCCTCCTCGAGCCCCAATCGATGCGGAGTAGGCTGCAAAATTTTTGTTGGAGTTCTTGAGATACGGTGGTAGATAGGCCGAACACGAAGAAGAACTGGAAATAATATGACTCTTTCCAGAGAACTGATTACAACTTTATCAACACTCATACTGTTTCAGTTGAAGATTGTCCTGCACGCACTAACCTGGTGAGCTTTCGCCTGATATCTTTGCCACCTCCATGAGGATCCCCTCCCCGCAAGAGGTGAGCTGCAAGCTCGGTAGAACTATGCTTTCTAAGTATCGAAGTACCTAGCAATCAGCGTTTCGAATAGCTTCATCAGATCAGGCCCGACTGTGAAGCTCTCGGCGAAGGTGAATATTTCGCCTGCACTTTTCCCTGCTTACAAGATGGAACGCTCGTGATGCCAAGCTTTTGACAAACCTCAGGCCTCAGCTTCTGCGGGCTTGGCAAGGAGGTGAATCTTCGTGGCTCCTTCAGACGCTTCCCATCTAGCCAGCAACGCCCATATCGAAACATCAAATGCCCAGCTGAAGCGAGAATTCCCGACTCTCCATGTCCTGAAAATTTGACCCGTCCGGCAGCCAAAATACTGTCTGTCACACATGCCTCGGAAGATGCCGGGACGAGAACGATCTTCTTCTCCGATGTGGGAGCTTCTGACACGACAGTCGAGATGGTTGATAAAGAATGGCGCATTGATGCTGCCCGGAAGTCCAATTTGGCAGCGATCTGCCTGGGACATCTTTGCCAAGAGCTGAGTAAGGATGGATGAGCTTACCTGATCACAATACCAATGCCACTTCGCGAGGCTGACCGCTGGCCGCTTCTGATGCTCTGCACCTGATTTGAAGCGTCCATAGCGGAGCGGCGGAGCAGTGAGGCTACTTCGCCCTCCTTGCATCTCCGACAGCTGCTACACTCGCCTGAGAGAAGTCCGAAAACACGGCTAGCTGATCAGCAAATGCCGGACCCGGTGGGACGCGTGAAGGCGTGTACGGAGTGCCGACAGCAAAAGGTGTGCGATGCATGGACAACAGGCTCTCGCATTCTGTCGGACGCGTGCGCTGACTGGCTTGTAGGTCCGATGCGACGCATACCTTGACTACGCAAGGCCGTGCACTCGGTGTCGGGCCGGCAATCTTCCATGTGTGATCTCTAAGCACTTCCAGAGGAGACCCCGGCAGTCGTATGTCTCGCATACATGTATCCCACCAACCGCCTGACTACATAGCTCATTGTGGGACAGAAAAGCTCAGCTGCAGCATGAGATCGATCGTCTAAAGGCCAGAGTCGAAGGAGGCCACGACCATGAGAATCAGAGCGAACCCACGCCTGATCATTTCAGTCCCCCGACAAGATCGAACTCAGATTCAAGACACGTCACATTTGATGGCAGTCCGACAGTCCTCAAGAGCAGTTCCCCAGCTGAAGGCACTTATGACAGCTCGCAATTCACCCACGACGATGCCACTCTCACACGCAGCCTACAAAACGTGACAATCGAGAGTTATCACATTGACGAGTGCTACAATATGCGAGTTCAAAAATCCAGTATCTCATCTGTCCATGCTGACTAGCCCAGTTTCTTGACTCATTATGGACCTCATCTAGACGGTCTGTTCGAAGACTCGCTCACGCCCAACGAACGATATCAGCAGTCACCACTATTGTTCTGGACGATTCTTCTGGTCGGTTCGCGTGGCTACCCCAAGGACCCTACCATCTACGATCGGCTGGGAGAGTACGTTCTAGAGCTGGCCTTCAAGTCTATGATCAGGCCCAACGATCCTTTACCAGTCATCGTGGCCGCCGTCATCATATGCACATGGCCATTACCCTTCGATATGGTCTATCGAGACCCAACCCAAGCACTTGCTGGCGCTGCATATGGTCTTGCTATCCAGAATGGTCTACATATGTATGCCCGTGAACAGGATTTTGTCGTCAAGTCGACGTCCGAGAGAAGCGGAATAGTGTCAGATGCCGAAGCTCTCAGGTCCCGTGTTCGAGACGCTGCTGTCATCGCGCGAACCCGGATTTGGGTCTATTGTCTTTTGACGTTCCAAAATGCCAATATTGGTGATGGTCTGCCTCCAACAGCCATCGTACCATGCTTCCGCAGGGCAGAAACCTTCGGCGACGTCTATCACCTTCTTCCAAAGATCCTCGGTTATCGTCTTCAGACGCATCGTGTCAAGACTGAAGCTGTCAACGTTATAGCGTCGTCTTGCGACATAGTCGGCAAGCATAAAGATGATAGCCTTACTGCTACGATTCTCGCACTCGACGGTCAGGTCAGAGAATATCCACGCCCGGAGAACAACGACATATGTACGAAAACATCCAGCACACATGTTACGGGTCCCACAGATGCTGACAGGCAACAGATAACATCATCAGGTGCAACGCCAGACTGGCAATCTTGAGCCTGATATGGTTGGTGCAAACCGAACCAGACCACATACTGATTCTACGCGTATACGGCATCGCCCATGAATTGATAGCACATATGCAATCCCTGAATGAGAGCGTTCAGAGCTTCACGTTCTACTTGCCGCAGTCAACACATAGGCTGCTGGTCCTTGCTGCCTGCGTTATATTGCGCGTTTCCAAGAGTCCGCTGGCCAAGGATATCGACCTCGCTGGTGCAGAAGCCGCGATATTCGCCGTGGCCAACATTTTCAGGAAGCGATGTTTGCACACTGCCGACTTGTACTCTCTGGCCGCTACCGTACTTACACAGTTGTGGTCGAGCAAGAAAGCATTCGTGCGAGAAGGGAAGCCCCAAAATGGTTTACAAGTCGACATTCGATATCGTCTTGTATGTATCATTTGCCCTCGCGCCCTACCATCCGCTGACTTTCACAGGCTATGAACCCCGTCTTCGACACCTTCTGGTGGTGGCGCATGGAATTCGGCAGCCAAGCCTCATCAACTGGTCCTAAGGAGTCGCAAATTCCTACGAATTCACTCAGTGCGCCAGCTTCTTCGAGGACAAGTCAGATCGCAAGTGACACGGAGCAAGCAATGCCTTTCACTTCCATGTCCTATTCGGTCCCCATGGCCATGCCCACTGCTACGGAGCCGCAGATGCAATTTGACAATCTCTTCTCCGATCTGAATTATATGGACTTCTGGGACCTCTCGGCTTTGCCAAATGACCTCTTTCAAGGCGATATGATGTCTGGAATTAATCATGCCAGTATGATGGGGTCTCAGGATTATAATCATATTTTTTATACGCCGCAGTGATCGGGGGGTTTGTAGGATATGCCACCCGGCCTACCCTTTTTTTGTCTAAAGGATGGTTACTGTTCCGACTGCTTACGCCATATACCGGAGTGCTTGAGCCGCGAGACGGTGGTCGGCAGAAACCACGCCCTGTCTCTGAGCACGCGCTGAGACATTCAGAGCTTTGAGAGCATGCCACCTAGACACCAGACACCAACTCGTTCTCACTTGCCCAAAATCTCTCTCTCTCTCGGCCGGCCGGTGCCAAGCTCGACTTCGAACACAACACAGCGTCACATCGAGCTTTAACAAATCGCCGTTGGAAGACTTGGTTCAACGTCGTGGGATGGAATTCACAATACCGGGGGTCTCGCTTCGCACGACTTCTCCGTCTATCATTTCATGGATCGGGACAATTCAAGTCTTCCTTCTATTCTTTATTGCCGTTTTGGGCGGCCTAGGAGCGGTCTCACTGCTTGCTATACATCGGCTGTGTTCTCATCTTTGTTGGATTCGCAGACCAGCTTTGACAGATTGTCGTGTCGCAAAGCTAAAGCATTTGGAGTGCTTGAAGTTATGAACACAGATACCGGGAGCGAACATGGGGTCCCAGGTTCAGTGGTGTCAGCATCTGTGCTGGCCACGTGAAGCAGCCAACGGTTTCGCTCAAAAATCCTTCGACACGGTCCCGTCGATCGCTTATATAATTTTCCCGCATCGCTGTTGGAGGTATGTAATTCACCACAGTACTGTAGGCTGTGCTCTGGGCGAGAAAATCTATCCTTCGAATCTCCGCGAACACGAACAGGAACCAATTGAAGGAGACCGGGCACGATCTTTACAGCTAATTTTTTTCTCTATTGATATCTGTCCTCGCTTAGGTTATAGAAGTGTATGCAGAATTGTTTGACGCGAAATGATCGTATTCTGATAAACGCAAGCACGAACGCCAGGGTGGTGAGTTCTGCTCAGCCCTGTTTGCACTGCAAAAGCGTCCCGTCGTAGGAGGAACGGGCCTGCCCTAAATAGCAGTCCTGCCTATTCGTGGCCATGACTTTTCCTATCTTGTGGCTTTTACTGCTGTTGTGGCAGTCGACAACATCTTTCGGCGCAAGCAGTGAATCCACCTGTGCGGCTGAGACTAACATATGTGACTCGCGTGACAAGGAGATGATGGGATCTCTTCGAGTATGGCCTTCGCATCACTGGCTCTTGCTGCCCGTGATCGAAAACCTACACCACACCAATTAACCAAGTGGACTTCCAAATGCTAAATCTTCTCTTCTTCATTCACTAGCCACCTCTGGGCTGTTGCCTTTGCTCAGGAATGCTACTTTCCAGACGGTAGCCAAGCACAAGAGTCCGATGATCTGCGGCCACTCAGCGTGCTGTCTAAAGACCGGACTGTGTATGTCTAATGGTTTATGCTACCAGCAATCAGTATATGGCAAGAGAATAGCACGAAGCAGGTGTACGGAATGATCCGGCTTGCGCATCAGTTTGCACACTCAGTAAGCGTCGAGTGCTCGTATCATGCGCTGAAGCTGTGGTCTATCCTGGTAGAGGAAGGGAGGTGTCTCGCCCTGACGCTCGTTTCCAGCTCAATCATCGCTTGTTGCTACCGAAGCTCATTATGGTTAGAGCACCAAATGCCAGGGCTCAGAGAACTGAGAGAGGGAGCCGCGAACGTCGAGGAAAATTCGTGGGCCGTCTGGAGGGCAGGAGTGAAGATACGGAATCGGAACGCACTCGCTCAGGACAGAAGAGACTTAATAAGGTGAATGGAAAAGGCTGGCCGGTGCACGAGCACGGACCATTGGCTATTTTAACCTTAAATTTAGCCGTGTATCTCGACTTTTCCTCAAACAACACCATCGTTCATCTGTCGGACAACACAACCATTCGCCCACCACGAGTTCCTCCTTGCACTAAGATGAGTGCCATGGAAACTATACTGCGTGTGCGCAGCGCATAATTGCAAGATGGCGCCGGCGATGGGCTGACCGGATAGGCGTTTAGGATCCTTTTCAGCTCTGTGGATGTCAATCAAGAACTGGCTGAAGACTGCCCGCATCCCTCCTTCCCAAATACTAGGTATATGAATTCAATCATTCCTAACGACCATTCGAGTGGCCGATAAACGAGGAAAGTCGCAAGTTCCGCCTAATTATCAAGATTTTCAATGACTCCTAGCTCTAAAAATATTCTGCCGAAAGTGCACTTCGCACCGTGAAGGCCGTTGACTAGATGGCCATTTACTAATGCCCTCGAAGTTGTTTAAGACAAGAGATCGTCCGAGCTCATGGGATTCGGGGCATGAAGCGGTCCTTGGAACAACATTGTCTGGGCTTTGGAGCCGAGATGGAACCTACGTATTGCTAACGGACCTGTTTGAAGATCTGGACGTCATCTTTTCATGCTGATTTGGACTCACATTCTGCCATACCGAGTGACTGGCTAGACGACCAAGGACAGCATAGATTGCTTGACGAAACATGGCGATCATAAGCAATACGAGCCCCACGAGAAATCGGTTCACGCTGGGCGGAGATATCATGTCGCTCCTGCAAGACTCCTGCTTGCCCAAGGCACGCATCTAGTGTTGACTCTTTCTACAGGGTCTCAATAGTCGGTCTTTTCCACAATTACGGTGCTCGCGTGTCAGAGGTGGCCAGCGGCAGGGAAGCGGTTTACTGGCTATGCTTGCTCGTGAGAATCCTGAGCACTAGATTGACTGGACGTTGCTGACGATACCTTAGTGCTATGCCCTGCACTTCATCTTGATTTGGATCTTTACCTTCCCAGGACATGTGCAGTGGCCACTCTCGTAGATGCACTTTGCAACGCGATGGTCATGACCTGTGAGCAGCTTCTCTCTGAATGCAAACTTCTGTCCCAATACTGACTTACCGCGACCGGCGTGATTTTGCACAATATCGCTCGTTCTGCAGAGCTCGTCTCTCTGGTTGAACGTGCATACATTATTTCCTGGCCCGTCAACAGCCGAATCCGCACGAAGGAATATGTCCTGAGCTTCATCTGTATATTTGCTCCGTACTTTGGAGTCACCGCCGTAAGCGAGTAGGGCATGTTCACACGACCAACAGTTGAATCCTGAGGCATGTGCCTAGGTCCGTGCACACACGCGGCACCCTATTTAGCGACTTCTCGCTTCTTCCGTAGACACATCAACCATCGAACACATACACACTTCAAGTGGTTATGAGCCCTCGACTGCTACCGCAGACCTGATCAAGACTGAACACCCTCAAAGCAGGGGGTGCGACCAAGACCGACAATTGAACAGCCAAGATGGCCGTTTCCGACTCGACCACTGCGACTATCGCGACTGGCGGCATTCGCAAATTGACACCTACCAACTATCCCCTCTAGAGCGTCGATATCAAGGCCCTTCTGCGGCGCTCTAAGTTACTGAAATACACCTAACTCGATAAGAGCGCTGCAGCCAAATAAGACTTGTCCGATTACGAAGAGAAGGTGGCAGACGCCGCTGACCTAATTACCCTTACACTGAGCGACTCGATTAAGAGCCGCTTATCTACAGATGACTTTGATAACGGCTATAAGCTAATGGCTAAGATCAAGGCTATGTGCTAGCCAGATACGGAAACTGAGTACTTCTCGTTATAGAAAGAGCTCTTTGAGCTGAAGTACGACGGCAAGGATATTGAGGTCTATATTGCAAAGATCCGGACACTTAGCGACCGCATTAAGTCATTCAATACTAAGCTAACTGCTAATAAGCGTAACCTGCTTATTCTGCTAATAACAGTTGGCCCCTATTACGATATACTTGCTAACTACTGGACTGTTAATTTGAAGGATATGACATTCGACAAGGCCTGCACCAATCTACGCGACGATTGCCGTAGACAGCTTGCTTTGGACCCAATGATCCAGGCCAATATGGCTAAGAAGGACGACAACAAGAACACCGATAAGCAGTACTGCAACTACTGCAAGAAGAAGCATAGTCCGACCTGCTTTAAGAAGAACCCTGAACTGGCGCCTAACTGGTATAAGAATCTCAACCAACAAGCCGCTAATCTAGCTATTGCTGTACTAAATGACCCGCGACCTGATTTAGAGCCAGCAACTAGCAAGAACTGGGCCTTCTGAACGACTGAACCTTCTGAACGACTGAACGACTGACTTAACCGCAATCAACACCAACCTGCTGGAAGCAGGGGGTGCGGCGGCTGACCGACTGAACCTGAACGACTGAACGGCTGCTTTAAGCACCTACCTGCAAGAAGCAGGGGGTGTCGTGGCTACTGACTGAACCGCAATCAACACCTATCTGCTAGAAGCAGGGGGTGCGGCGGCTGATTAACTGAACTGAACAACCAATGAAGGGCAAGATGCCTGGGTTGCTGAATTGACTGAACAACCAATAAAGGGCATAATGCCTAGGTTGCTAACTAATTGACTGATTGAACAACCATTGGAAGGGCAAGATGCCTGGGTTGCTGACTGAACTGAACAACCATTGTAAGGGCAAGATGCCTGGGTTGCTGATTGATTGACTGAACAACCAATGAAGGGCAAGATGCCTGGGTTGCTGACTGATTGAATGACCACCTTGTTTGATTTGAGCGACTTTGTATTCACCAACGTGCCTTGCATGTGCACGAGGGGGTAAGTTGAATCCTGAGGCATGTGCCTAGGTCCGTGCACATACGCGGCACCCTATTTAGCGACTTCTCGCTTCTTCCGTAGACACATCAACCATCGAACACATACACACTTCAAGTCCAACCCCTTTGCAGCACGAAGTCGATATCTGGGACTAATCAGGGCATGTGATAGCGTTGTTGGATGCATGCATATTCCACTGAATCACGAAACCAATTCGAAACGAGGAGCGAACTGAAAATGGTCAAACTGCTTTCGCCGTACATGTCGCTGCAACCAACCAACCAACGCCTGCCCAACCCGCGCTCAATTCTACCAAAAGCCACATTACACGTACAAACTACGAGATACGCTTAAGACAGCGCTATGCTAAGTGCTGAGCAGGGCCATCCCATAGTTTGCCCGTCCACCTTCCCTATCTCTCAAGCATCTTCCGCTGCTCATCCATAGTGACATCTGCAGCTACATTTGCAGTTCTGATCATACACATCACAATAGCACTGCCGCAAAATCAGTCAACGCAGTCAGAATCCGGATCTATACCTACATATGACGAATCACAATTGAACTTTCCAGGGCCACAAGAGCCGACAGAATTGCAGCAATTGGTGATGCAAGTCGTGCTGCCTGGACGACAAATTGCACGAGCCTTCCTTCAATCATTAGCAAATTATCGGGAATCCAAGCAACGTAATCTCAGCATACCAAGAGGAAGGATCCCGCCGAGCTAAGCTCCGCTTCGTCTCTCGCAATCGGTGCCGGGCCAGGTGCCGCGAAGGCGAGGCTGATGAAGAAGAAATTCGTGAGGAACGACGACTTCATGGTTGATGAGATGACAAAACAAGACTACAAGGCTAAAAGCAAACTCTTATACCTTCGAGGCTGAGCTGCTACCCCGGTACGTCCTCCAACATGATGGTGTTCTCGATGCGGAGAAAAGATCTTGGCCATGTCGCTAAGCACAGTCACAAGCTCGACTTGTGCTACACAAAACCAGCCACGAAGATACGCGAACGCGATGAGTCGTCGCGTGTGTTAAATATCGCTTCGACTCGACGACAACCCAGGCTCCATTCGACAAACGTAGTGCTTCGATCAGCATGTGGCCCATATTACTCCGAAACTAGCCTGACAGCTAACAACGAGGCTGAATCTCGCGTGCAACTATCTAGAAGTATGTGATGCTCAATCACAACCCTATGTCCTTACGGCCGTGTCGATAATGCCACCAAAGCCACTGATCATCTAGATTCGCTTCCGACAATTCTTCAGAGAGCAGGAAACCGGCTTGGTCCGAGAGTATTCATTGCACGAAGGAGCTTCAAATAAAGCTATCTTATCTTTGTTTTCACTACCGCTGTAACCGAATTGTACAGGTATATTCAGATTCGACTTACGAACGATAGCATTCCCGCTATGCCTAACCTAAACAGCAACGGCAATCGGTCTATCCTACGCTAAATCCTCGAACGGAACCTTTTTCTAGCAAAAAAAAAAAGATTTAATAGTATATATAGTCCCTAAATCCGGAAATCATCTATCTATCCACTAGCTCAAAATGTGCGTAAAGCGGTTTCTTTTCCCCCATATCAATGCATTCTGTGAACTGGAAGAAGCCTAAAATAGTTCAATCCGTTTGAAGGATATTGCGTTTGATGATGAGTTCAAACTTGATGGAAATGAATAACATCATGGAAGAACGGGACAGAACAGGACAGAACAGGACAGGAGCACACCTCCAGCCTTCAAGACTTTTTCTTTTCTTCACATTCAATCTTGGACTAAACCTAAAAACCAAAAAGACACACACACACACACACGTACTGGATATCAACGCCGAAGTTGCCTTGCAAATCTTTCTTTCATTCTATGCAGAACAGCCGCAAAGGCTTCATTAAGCTTAAAAACACATATCGGCGTGAGGAAAAATCCTCTCTTCCCAATTCCATATGAACGCTATCACATCACAATAAGCTCGCTTGCTGGCTTTCCAACCTCCGTGCCGTAGAACCGTAGAAACTAGAACCACCTACTCACTCTTACAGCAGGATCATGCCCATGCCAGAAAATGCACCGAGAGCGAGCATGAAAATGACGGGAAGCATGCTGGTGGTCGCGCTTGGAGCACCGACGAAAGCACCTGCGGCGCTGGAAGCAGCAGAGCCGCCGGAGACCTTGGCTTGGTCGTTGGAATTGGCGGTTGGGGAGGAGGTGACAGTTCCGGTGCCGGCGGTTCCGGCTTGAGACATGAGGGTCTCGCATGTGCCGGAGGCAGTGGTGGCGGACTTGGTGACTGCTGAGCCCTTGAAGTCGCAAGCATCAGCAGCGGAGTTCTGGCTGAGGTAGTACTGGTTGAAGGCGAAGGCGAGCTGCTCGGTGGAGTTGCACATGCTGTAGGCGCCGTAGCTTCCGGTGGAGGCGTTGGCGGTGATGCCAGCGCAGACGTTGTCGCCGAGACCGCAGACAGTGCCGAAGAGCTTGCCATAGTTTTTGGGGTCGGTGGAGCCGGCAACGACACAGCCAAGGGAGGAGTACATGCACGAGCAGAGCTGCTTGTTTGGAGATGGTGGGAGAGGAGTGGCCTTTGCGTTCCAGTCAGATCCCTCGCTTGGGCAGGATGCTGCGGTGTTGGTTGGGCTGTAAGAAGCAGAGTTGACACCAGTTGGGGAGATCTTGCCGAGCTGGTTCTTGAGGTTGTCGAAATCATCGTTGGTGGTGACGGTATTGCCGGAGACGGTGACAAGACCGTAGTCGTTGGCCTCCTGGAAGTACATGTAGACAATACCACCAGACCATGTTGGCGTCATCTTGGGGCCGTAGAGAGCCTGAACCTCGGTGAACGTACGTGGCTGGACCTGGTTGCAACCGTACTCAGCGAAGAAAGCCGGGACAGAGTAGGTGGAGAATTCCTTGGTGCGGACGTCGTAACCAGACTTGGTGTATGAAGAGTCACCGCACCACGAGTAGATGTTGTAGCCCCAGAAGTCAATGGCAGAGGCTTGGTCGCCGCAATTGAAGTAGTTGGCCATGTTCTCACGGATATCGGCGTCGTCGTTGGTGGCGTATCCTACACCGATCGTGCGGTAGCCCTGCGCCTTGATGTACGCCTTGGTGTCACGGACAGCAGCCTTCACGAATGCGCTCGCATCGGTGTTGTTTGGTGCGTTGGAAACCTCGTTACCGGCGAAGAAACCGAGCACGTTGGTGTACTTGGCCATAGCATCAACGACGGATGTGTAGCGTTCGTAAAGCGCGTCGTTCCATGCTGGGTCGTCTCGATTGATGGAAGAGCCCTGGACTGGCGCAGACAAATCTGCGATCACGTAGATGCCCGCGGCGGCGAGCGCGCTCATGCACTCGTCGTGGTTTGAAGACGGGTTGATGGCGTAGACACGGATGGTGTTGGTGTAAAGCTTCTGGAGGTAGGGGATGTCGCGCTTGCATGCGTCGGCGTTGGCTAATGGATCGGAGTAAGTCTGACTGTTGTCGCTGGTGGTTGTGCCATTGCCAGTGTAGTCCTGTTGGTAGGCAACGCCTTTCATGAAACTGTAGCATGCGTCAACACGTGTCCTGCGCGTGTCAAAGTCGCGACTCTTACAATTGAGTGCCATTGTTCTCATAGAAGAACTTGCTGCCCTTGATAACGATGGAGGGCAGGTCGGCAGCAGCAACTGCGCTGCCCAGAAGGGCAATGGATGCCGCCGCAGCGGACGCGTATCCAAATGCTCTCATTATGGCCAATGTCTTGCTATTACAATAGTGTGTAGTCGCGGTAAGCGTGGAGTCGCAAAGTCGTAATGGATTGTGAGGTCGCTTCCCCTGTGACGGAGGGTCGAGGTTTTTTCTCGCAGGGGTGGGAAGCTGGCAGGTGGAATGTGACGGCCTCGCACAGCGAAGGTCCGTCTGGAGGTGATGTCAAACGACAGTCGTTTGGAGTTGATCAAAGAGTGTGTTGCAGGGGCGATTGATTGTTCGAAAAGATGGGCTTTGCCGCCAAGGCAGACAAGCACGACAAGCACGGAATGGCTATCGCGACAACGAGTGTTGGGTGGAGGCAAGACACAGCAAAGAGACGATGATGAGCTTGTTGTTCAGGAGGCACAAGATGCGCCGAAGACTCAGTCTCCCGCCCGCCGCCGCCAATGCTGGCCACAGGCTTGCGCGTTCTTCGCTAAGCACCATGCCTCTTTCGTGCCACATCGGCGCTGATCTCCGGCGAGGTCATTGGGTGAAAGGGTGAAACGGCGAAACATGGTCTTCCCTGTCACCAAAATCATTACCAGCCTACAGCTTCACAGGGTCTCTGTGGAATGGAGTCGGAGGAAAAGCCTCTCACATCAGCGCTCACCACCATCAGAAGCGCCGATGCCAGATTTTGTCAGGGGTGAAGGACGAAACGAAACAGTCTACGCTCCTCACGTGCTTTGGGCAAACACCACCACGAAGATTGCGCGGCAGTACGGTAGCTAATTACGGATTACGGATCGTGGGAAAACGGCGGTTCCTGGTCTTGGCTCAACATTTTCTCGAACAATGACTGTCGATAGCGTGGTCTGCATTGTTCGTAATGATTAGGCGCGTCTCATAGACTCATAGAAGGATTGACTCCTTCCCCCAGAAAGTAGAGCGATACTGAATTGACGATACAGCCGGACCTGGATGTTGGGCTTACCAAAGAATGCGACTGGGGGAATTACCGTCATTGGGTCGTCGGTTGTTCGTATTCTTGGAGCTGGAGTGCCTAACCATTGGCGTCGAGGATATTCGAGAAGTGCTCGACCGGCTTATCCAGTGCAGATAACATCATCGTCGGCCGAGGTGAAGGAGAAAGGTATAAAAGCACTGCAGCTGTCGCTGTCGTCTTTCTTATAAGATCAAAATACATATACCATTTCCGATACGAGCGTTGCAATCTAGGAGACCAGGATGATACAGCTGCCGTATACGTCATTAGAAATCGAAGTGAAAGATCTGTACAAGGGACTGCATTGGTGAGGTAGACGGCAATTGATGTCTTCAATCCACACCCGATCGATCTTTTGATACAAATGTTGCTTGCGAGTCGGCAGGCAACGGCAACCAGCTCTCCAGTGTGGCAGTGTCAGAGACATGCTTCGCCACATCGTTAAAGGGGCGTGCAGCTATCCTGCTTCAGAGGCTCAAAAAGCGGAATTGGTGGTGGGGGACGAGTGGCGATGGAAAGACGCATTCGATCTTGTGCGTCAGGACTGCCGCGCTGAGTCGCTGACGCAGGTACAGCGTTCGCAGGCCCCGCTGATCAACCACTGAAAAGTTTTCCTCTTTTCAGTACAACCCGTTTTCGATGCGTTTGGATGCGGTTTGAAGTGCCATGAAGCTGCAGAATGACAAACTTGGCTTTCCTGAAAAGTCTGCATCGTGTTCTCACGGCTGGACTTTGTAGACAAGATGTGCAGGAGCTTCCTGGTACAGATGGTGTTCCAACTTCAAGCTGCAGCTACTGTTTCAGAGTTGATGCCGCGCACCAAGCTGACGCGGGTGCGCGGCCGCTGGGCGATGTCGTCCTATTGGAGGAGGTTGAAAGATGATGAGAGATTAGGAAGCGATAATCAAGCAAGCACGAAGCATGCAAAGCTGACTTGCTAAGCAGCGAAGAGGAGGGGCGCTCGATGGTCTGACGGGTTGCACACGAGGAATGCGGAGTGGAGTCTCATCATCAGTCGCGCGTGAACACGTTCAAGAAGCAGTTCAGCGTGGCAAATGCTGGTTCCTTGGCAGTTCTCGAGGTGAAAAATACGCATATGCATACGCAGACGGATTCGCATACGGCGGCGGAGAAGGGAGTGCTGCCGGTATGTACGGGTATGCTGTAGCTTGCAAAAATAGCAATAAATCGATATTGATGGAGCAGTGCATGATATGAACAGCGTAGCCTCCTTTTGGAGGTGCAGTGCGCAGATTTTGGTTGAAGGCGCCGCTGATGATGAGGTCGATGCTGGCTGGGAAGTGGAAGGGTTCGCTGTCGCGAGGCGTTGGCTCCGGAGGATGATGAAGCAATGATACAGTATCGAGTTTAGCCGTGCCCGTGCCGGGGGTTGAGCAGCATGGCCGTTGCGAGAGGCTCGGTGGGCGGATGGTGAGGCATGGTGCATACAAGCGAGCAAAACTCGATACCGGCTCTCCTGGCTGCCCCTTTCCCTCCCTCCCTGCTGCCACGTCCGTCCGTCCTTTCCCTCCACTTGTCAGATATCCGCTCCATACCGTGCGAGAGCGCCGCCGCCTACACTCGTTATCTCACTACATCCTACAGCTTGTGGGTGACTTCAGGGCGGGGAAGCGTTCGCTCTCTGGTAACACTGAGAGTTTTGCATCCTGGGCCAAGCGCCAATAAGCAGCTCGCAGGCCACAGGAGAGGTCAGCCATTGGCAGCGTCCCACGCGCGTCCGTTCTCACAGCAACAGTCAGCACCACCACCAGCGACCTGCACCTTTTCGCTTTTCGCCGCGCGCAAGTCGACCTGCACCTCGCACCTCGCACCTCACGACACCCGCCGCAGCGGTCACCACTGCCCACGCCTGCCGTTTCCTTGTTTTGCCCCTGCCCGCGCTGTTGACTGTACAGAGGCGGAGTCTTCGCTCGTTGACCACGCCTTCCTCGCGCCTTCGACATTATCGAGCGTGCGTGCGCCTGTTCTTGCTTGGGTCTGCGGCCCGACCATCAACGCTCGCTTCGCTTCGCTTCAGCATCGCAGTCTGCAGCATCCACAATACCGAGTGAGATCCAGTCGCTCGCCAGCAACCCGTCCGCCACCCAAAGGAACCGTAATTGCATCTCAGCGCGACACACCAGCATCGCATTGCCCATGCTGCACGTCTGCTGAACGGTACGTCGCCTCCGCCTACGCCAGCCCTCCCTCCCCTCCTCTCCTCCCACCTTCCCAACAACAATTGCATCTCCGCACCCTTCACCACCATCGACCTCTCACCACCCCCTTCTCCGCCTGCCCCTGCCTGCCCTGGCTGGCCATCGCTTGTTTGCCGCGCACCTCCGACCTGACCTGCGCGCAAACCTCTCCAATGCGCACTGCTGACTCCTGCCCGCAGTCTAATATCTAATACCTCCCACCATGGCCCACCCTCACCAGGGCGGTGGCTATGATGATGCCTACGCCCATCAAGGAGCCCACGACGGCTACTATCAAGACGATCAGGCTTACTACGACCAGCACGCCTACGCCCAACAGGCTCAGCACGACGGCTACTACGACGACAATGCCTACTACCAGGCCGGCGCTCATGATGGCTACCAACACGATGGCTACTACGATGCCGGACAGCACGGCTATCAGGATGAGTACTACAATGACCAGTACTACGATCAAGGCGCTCCCGCTGCGGGCCAGTATCAGCAACAAGCTCGTGGTCAGGGTCAGCGCAGGAGCGGTCGCCGCGGCCACGATTCTGAGGAGGACTCTGAGACCTTCAGCGATTTCACCATGAGATCCGACATGGCCCGCGCCGCCGAAATGGATTACTATGGACGCGGTGATGAGCGCTACAACTCTTACGGCGATGGCACAGGTCGTGGCTACCGACCGCCTTCATCTCAAGTATCTTACGGCGGCAACCGCTCATCAGGGGCGTCAACTCCAGTCTACGGCATGGACTACACGAGCGCTCTGCCTGCTGGACAGCGGTCTAGGGAGCCATATCCAGCATGGACCTCCGATGCTCAAATTCCCCTCTCCAAAGAGGAAATTGAAGACATCTTCCTCGACCTCACAGCCAAGTTTGGTTTCCAGCGCGACAGCATGCGAAACATGTTCGACCACCTCATGACCCTCCTCGATTCCCGCGCCTCCCGCATGTCGCCCAACCAAGCCTTGCTATCACTGCACGCAGACTACATTGGTGGCGAAAACGCCAACTTCAGAAGATGGTACTTTGCAGCACATCTCGATCTCGACGATGCAGTTGGATTTGCCAACATGAAGCTGGGCAAGGCCAACAGGGCGACCCGAAAGGCTCGCAAGGCCGCAAAGAAGAAGGCAGAGGCCAATCCACAGAACGAGGAGGCAACACTCGAGAGCTTGGAGGGTGACAACTCTCTCGAAGCTGCGGAATACCGCTGGAAGACACGCATGAACCGCATGTCCCAGCACGACAGAGTCCGTCAAATCGCTCTGTACCTGCTCTGCTGGGGTGAAGCCAATCAGGTCCGCTACATGCCTGAAGTTTTGGCCTTCATCTTCAAGTGCGCGGATGACTACTACCACTCACCTGCCTGCCAAAACCGTGTTGAGCCAGTCGAGGAGTTCACGTATTTGAACAACTGCATCACGCCTCTCTACAACTACTGCCGAGATCAGGGTTACGAGATTTTTGAGGGCAAATACGTCCGCAAGGAGCTGGACCACCAGAAAATCATTGGATACGATGATATGAACCAGCTTTTCTGGTACCCAGAAGGGATCGAAAGACTGCCATTCGAGGATAAGACCCGACTGGTAGATCTGCCACCTGCCGAGCGGTACGAGCGTCTCAAGGACGTCATCTGGAAGAAGGCCTTCTTCAAGACCTACAAGGAGACCCGATCATGGTTCCACATGTTGACCAACTTCAACCGTATCTGGATCATCCACGTCTGTATCTTCTGGTTCTACACCGCCTTCAACTCTCCGACTTTGTACACCAAGAACTACCAGCAGCAGCTTAACAACCAGCCCAAAGGATCAGCTCACTGGTCCGCGGTCGCTCTTGGTGGCACTCTCGGATGCCTTATCCAGATCATGGCAACTCTCACCGAATGGCTCTACGTTCCCCGGAGATGGGCTGGTGCTCAGCACTTGACCAAGCGTCTTCTCGTGCTCATCGTCATGTTCGTCATCAACATTGGTCCCTCGGTCTACATCTTTGGTGTCTCGCAGGACGGCAAGATCGCTCTCATTTTGGGTGTCGTTCAGTTCCTCATCGCTTTGGCAACCGTATTCTTCTTCGCCATCCAGCCTCTTGGCGGCCTTTTTGGCAGCTACCTCAACGGCAAGCGAAGGCAATACGTTGCCAGCCAAACCTTCACGGCCAGCTATCCTCGCCTTACCGGCAACGACATGTGGATGTCCTTTGGTCTCTGGGTCCTGGTCTTCGCCGCGAAGCTTGCTGAATCGTACTTCTTCCTGACTCTCTCGCTCCGTGATCCTATTCGTATCCTGTCGACGATGAAGATCTCCCACTGCCTGGGTGACAAGATTATTGGAACCATGCTGTGTTACCGGCAGCCAACCGTCCTGCTCATTCTCATGTACTTCACCGACTTGATCCTGTTCTTCTTGGATACCTACCTATGGTACGTCATCTGGAACTGCGTCTTCTCCGTGGCACGATCTTTCTACCTTGGTGTGTCTATCTGGACGCCATGGAGAAACATCTTCTCCCGTCTGCCAAAGCGTATCTACTCCAAGATCCTGGCAACCACCGACATGGAGATCAAGTACAAGCCCAAAGTCCTCATCTCTCAGATTTGGAATGCTATTGTCATTTCCATGTACCGCGAGCACTTGTTGGCCATTGACCACGTCCAGAAGCTCCTCTACCACCAGGTGCCATCCGAGCAAGAGGGCAAGCGTACTCTTCGTGCCCCGACCTTCTTCGTGTCGCAGGAAGATCATTCCTTCAAGACCGAGTTCTTCCCGGCCATGTCTGAGGCGGAGCGTCGTATCAGCTTCTTCGCCCAGTCGCTTTCGACACCGATCCCGGAGCCTCTGCCAGTCGACAACATGCCAACTTTCACCGTCATGATCCCTCACTACAGCGAGAAGATTCTTCTTTCCCTTCGTGAGATCATTCGTGAGGACGAGCCATACTCGCGTGTCACCATGTTGGAGTATCTCAAGCAGCTCCACCCACACGAGTGGGACTGCTTCGTCAAGGACACCAAGATCCTGGCTGACGAGACTTCTCAATTCAACGGCGACTACGAGAAGAACGAGAAGGACACCCAGAAGTCCAAGATCGACGACCTTCCGTTCTACTGCATTGGTTTCAAGTCCGCTGCTCCTGAGTATACTCTACGCACGCGTATCTGGGCTTCTCTCCGCTCGCAGACCCTCTACCGCACTATCTCTGGTTTCATGAACTACAGCCGTGCGATCAAGCTCCTCTACCGTGTCGAGAACCCAGAGGTCGTCCAGATGTTCGGTGGCAACTCTGACAAGCTTGAGCGTGAGCTCGAACGTATGGCCCGTCGCAAGTTCAAGATCGTCGTCTCCATGCAGCGTTACGCCAAGTTCTCCAAGGAGGAGCGTGAGAACGCCGAATTCCTTCTCCGCGCCTACCCAGATCTCCAGATCGCCTACCTTGACGAGGAGCCACCACAGGCTGAGGGCGAGGACCCAAGACTCTTCTCTGCCCTCATCGATGGTCACTCTGAGATTATGGAGAACGGCATGCGTCGACCCAAGTTCCGTGTCATGCTTTCTGGTAACCCAATTCTGGGTGACGGAAAGTCGGACAACCAGAACCACTGCTTGATCTTCTACCGCGGAGAGTACATTCAGCTCATCGACGCTAACCAGGACAACTACCTTGAGGAGTGCTTGAAGATCCGGTCCGTCCTTGCTGAGTTCGAGGAAATGACCACCGACAACGTCTCGCCGTACACTCCTGGTCTGCCACCCGCCAAGTTCAACCCAGTTGCCATCCTTGGTGCCCGAGAGTACATTTTCTCCGAGAACATTGGTATTCTTGGTGACGTCGCTGCCGGAAAGGAACAGACGTTCGGTACGCTCTTCGCTCGTACATTGGCTCAAATCGGTGGTAAGCTCCATTACGGTCACCCCGATTTCCTCAACGGTGTCTTCATGACTACTCGCGGTGGTGTCTCCAAGGCTCAAAAGGGTCTGCACTTGAACGAGGATATCTACGCTGGTATGAACGCCATCCTCCGTGGCGGTCGCATCAAGCACTGCGAGTACTACCAGTGTGGTAAGGGTCGTGATCTTGGTTTTGGCTCCATTCTGAACTTCACCACGAAGATCGGTACTGGTATGGGCGAACAAATGTTGTCTCGCGAGTACTACTACCTCGGCACGCAACTCCCTCTGGACCGCTTCCTCTCGTTCTACTACGCCCACCCAGGTTTCCACATCAACAACTTGTTCGTCATGTTGTCTGTGCAACTCTTCATGTGGTGCTTGCTCAACCTCGGTGCTTTGCGACACGAGACCATCAGTTGTCGATACAACCGCGACGTTCCAGAGACCGACCCGCTTTTCCCAACTGGATGCGCTAACATCATCCCTATTATGGACTGGGTCCAGCGTTGTATAGTCTCGATCTTCATCGTCTTCTTCATCTCTTTCGTCCCACTGACGATTCAGGAGTTGACCGAGCGTGGTTTCTGGCGTGCCGCCACTCGTTTGGCCAAGCACTTCTCCTCCCTGTCACCACTCTTCGAGGTGTTCGTCACTCAGATCTACGCCTACTCGCTGCAGCAGGATCTGTCTTTCGGAGGCGCTCGCTACATTGGTACCGGACGTGGTTTCGCCACTGCCCGCATGCCATTCGGTGTGCTCTACTCGCGATTCGCCAGCCCTTCGATCTACTTGGGTGCTCGTCTCCTGATGATGTTGCTCTTCGGCACGCTCACAGTCTGGGGCTACTGGCTTCTGTGGTTCTGGGTCTCGCTTCTTGCACTCTGCATTTCGCCATTCCTGTTCAACCCGCACCAGTTCGCTTGGGCCGACTTCTTCATCGACTACCGCGAGTTCTTGCGATGGCTGTCTCGTGGAAACACCAAAGCCCACTCTGCATCCTGGATCGGGTTCGTTCGTCTTTCGCGAACCCGTCTCACTGGTTTCAAGCGCAAGGTACTTGGAGAGCCATCTTCCAAGCTGTCTGGTGACACGCCCAGGGCCAAGTTCACCAACATTTTCTTTAGTGAGATCATTGGTCCGCTTGTCCTGGTCGCTGCCACTCTGGTGCCATACCTTTACATCAACGCTGGAACTGGTGTCATCGCAGCCAACAACCGTGGAACCGACATCACTCCTACCAACTCACTCATTCGTGTGGGCCTCGTGGCCTTGGGTCCGATCGGTATCAACGCTGGTGTTGCAGCTGGATTCTTCGGCATGGCCTGTTGTATGGGCCCAATTCTTAGCATGTGCTGCAAGAAATTCGGTGCAGTCCTGGCGGCCATCGCTCACGCCATCGCTGTCATTATGCTATTGGCCTTCTTCGAGGTCATGTTCTTTCTGGAAGGCTGGAGCTTTACCAAGGCTCTTTTGGGCATGATCGCAGTCGTCGCTATTCAGCGCTTCATCTTCAAGCTGATCATCGGCCTCGCCCTGACCAGAGAGTTCCGCGCCGATACCTCGAACATAGCATGGTGGACGGGAAAGTGGTACGCTCTCGGATGGCACACTCTTTCGCAGCCCGGACGTGAGTTCCTGTGCAAGATCACCGAGATGGGATTCTTCGCGGCAGACTTCTGCCTGGGACACGTGCTGCTCTTCTTCATGCTGCCACCACTCTTGATCCCATACATTGACAAGTTCCACTCTGTCATGCTCTTCTGGCTGCGCCCCAGGTATGTTCACTCGCTCTCCTCTTTTGCTTTGATCATCATCACTGACTCTTTTTTTTTCTCAGTCGTCAAATTCGTCCACCGATCTACTCGCTCAAGCAGTCCAAGCTGCGTCGACGACGAGTCATCCGTTATGCCATCCTTTACTTCGCGATGTTCGTTCTCTTCATTGTCCTGATCGTTGGACCAATCGTCGCCAAGAAGTTCATTGGCAACCTCAAGCTGGATGTCATGAACCTCCAGCAGCCATCGAACTGGAAGAACAACGATACGTCTGCCTCCAACACTGGTTATTCGGCTAGCGGCGCAAAGGTGACGGCGTCTGCCACTCACAGTTCATCGTCATCGCACAACAACAATAAAGTGATGGGGCGAATGCTGTACGGATATTAGACGACGACTTACGACACGGCCGCACGAAATGCGTCTTGATGATTGCATCCTCTCTTTTGGTCATGGGGGTTTCGACACCGATCTCGACGCCTGTGACCGGACACTTGTACAACACAGCATACACAAAATCAGAAGGCTGTTCACATGTCTCTTGGAACAGCCGGCGCGCTGCACACTCATGAGGTGGTGAGTTAATGGCGGAGACAAGCAGGTGTAATCATCAGAACAAGTACAATGAAGCAGCATGGCAATGGAACGGTGGGCGTTTTTGGGGAGCATGCAAAGAGAGCTTGCGATGACACGAGCTTTTCATTCTTTTTTTCATTGCCTACAGACGGGCAAAGGTGTTTGATAGACCAGGAAATTCAATGGACATGTTCATGTGCATACACACACACACACTCAACGGGGGTTCTTTTCCGGATCACATGGCGTTGGTTAGGGAGTCAGTGAGGCTTGTTTGTGGAAGTGAATCGGGGTTGTTTTGGTGGCAAAGGTCATGGAAGTGCTCCGTTCCGTGAGAGGTAATGTATATCGGAGGGAGCTTGGAGTCAGAGAAGTGATGGGGTTGATGGAGGTCATGTGACTGACGCGTGCTTCGGAAGGGAAGAGTTCAAGCCCGACCCCCACCCTCGACGTCCTTCCTTCCTTTGTTTCACCAACCCAACCGACGCGACGGTTCTATTTCGATTCCAACACGCGCAATGTCATCCGTGCCAGTGCCGGTGGAAAGTGAGGCCGAGGCGGTGGAGGAGGAGCGTGCGTGGACGGTGGTGCATGGCGCGACTGCAGGAGCAAGAACGCGGCGACCACGCGGACTAGAACGACGCGAGCTCGACATGGCGCGGAAGCGATGCCTCGGCCACGACGCGTCGAACGATGGCTCGACGCCCGAGCGGAACAGCTGGAATCGAGGTCATACGAAGGAGCGGGTTGGCCATTCGTTGCATTCCCTGCTGAGCCGCGACCGACGGCGACATGCCACCAAGCCGGGCTGGGAGCCTGTGGTGCAGCGGCCCGCCAAGAAGATCGAAGAAAGCCCCCATCTCGAGGAGGCGGCGCTGAAGTCACTGCAGCGCCAAGGATGCCAGAATCCCATGCGCCACTACTATCCCGAGCACGAGTGTGAAGTGCCCCGCCGCCGTCTGGACTGTCTTCGCCACATCGCGAGGTGGAAGCGGGACAGGCCTCTCGTGGAGGAAGTCGCCATCCGCCTCCCCAAGGAACTTGCCATCCACGTCTTCGAATACGTCGTCCTCGCGAGCCAACCCCACACCGCATTCCACGACGAGCACACTCTGGCCACCACTGCGAGGCTCGTCATCGGCCCTTCCGACGCCGCCGACTCCCTGGTCCCGCTCGCCGAACAAGCCCTTCTCGAGCAATCCATCTTCGACATCGATGTGGCATTCCGGCGAGCGGAAGGCCAACGCATGGCCGTCCTGCCGCCCGATCTCTCCACACGGCCCCATCCCCTCCGCAAAGCCCGTGTCACTCTCGACTTGGAAATCCCCATCGGAAGACAGAAATACCCGGCTATCTTGTACATTGCCACGGCATGTATGCCCTCCTTGCTCGCCCAACTCCCCGCCCTCCGACACCTGCACTTCTTCTTCCGCATCGAGCTTACTCGCCCGCCGTGGGACCATCAAGGCTCGGCATTGGATGTCGCATGTCGGAAGGGCTTCTCCGGAACCAGTACTTTCCGGAAAGCTCTCGAGGAGCTTTTGGACGCTGTCAAGGCTGTGAGGCCGGGAATTGAGGTCTACGTGGAGATCTCATACATGTATGAAGGCACGTGGCGAGGAGCGCATGAGACGCCACCGAAAACTTACAATGTTGCCATGGAGGACTTGACGGCTGAGGATGCCATTCGGGGCGCTGATGCGAAGTGGCAGAATTGTAGGTTTAGTCTTGGGTAGGAGGGTTGTGTGAGGTGATGATTTGGGAGTGGAGGCTTGATTGCTGTGCTTATTTATGGTGCTGGCTTTGATGAGTATGGTGACGAGGGTATGATGTGACGAAGGAGGATGGCATGGCATGGGAGGAGGTGTGCTGTATGATTTGACATGTATATTATGCTCGACGGTGATGGGAGCCAGCATGGAAATGTTATGAAGCTGTAGCAAAATCTTAGGAAATTGTTGTTGTTTTTTTCCAGTCCTTATTAATAATAGTGAGTTTGAATTTTCCTTTATATACATTATACTGATTCAGAAAATCATCCAATCTTGCTTCCACTCAGCAGCTTCCACTTTGACGCGGAGGAGAAGATCAAGTTCACCAAACGGAAAAATCAAAAAAAAAAAAAAAAACTTGATTGAATTCGTAGCCATCGTATCATATTTCCTTTTCCTATTCCATACACATGGGCCTTCCCAGGAAAATGCAAAACAAAAACAAAAAGCAAATGCATCCACCCACACGACATCTAAACCTCCTCTTCCTCCTTCTTAACAATCGAAGAATCACTCCCAACACTACTCCCCAAAGAACTCACCACAACCCCCTCCCCCTTCCCCTTCTCACTTCCCTTTTTCTCCCCACCTCTCCTCCTCCTCCTCCTCGGCCGAACCGGCGCCCCCTCCCACGCCGTCCCCTCCGGTAACCTCTCCCCCTTCATAACCAAACTCAAACACCCCAGCTGCGCCCCATCGCCCACCTCACTGCCCGGCAAACAAATCGAATAAGGCTTCACACACGCCCGGTGCCCCAACCTGACACACCCGATTTTCATCACGCGGTCTTCGAAAAGGTGCGTCTGGGCGCCGCAGTGTTGGTTGACGACCGCTTCGTCGCCGATCGTGACGCAATCGTATTCGGTGATGTCTGCAGCCAGGAGGGTGACGCGGGCACCGATTTTGACGCCGAGCAGACGGAAGCAGATGGCGAGGTAGGGCGTTCCGACGAGCATGGTGGTGAGGAGGGGACGGGCGATGGTTTCGTAGGTGGAGGTCACGGCTTCGGAGAGCCAGACGTTCAGAGACCAGAGGGGCCATTCGGAGGGGTGGTACGTGCCGATCAGCAGCCATTTCAAGGCGACGGTGAAGGTGAGCGCGGGCAGGGCGAAGAGGAAGAAGTAGAAGAGCGGGAGCATGAGTAAGGTGTTGATTGCGCCGATGGAGGTGTAGCCCGTGTATGCGATTTCGAGACCGATTCCGAGCGCGAAGATGATGAGGGCGCGGGGGATGACGATGCGGAGGCCTTCGATGGTGAGGCGCGCGGCGATGCGGCCGGGGGAGGGGGTGAAGAGGTGTTTTTCGGGGTGGCCTTCGACGCGGTGGCGGGTTGGCATTAGGACTGGTGGTGAGCCGAAGCAGGAGGTGTTTTCTGGGAGCGGCTTTTCTGGGGCTGGGGCGATGGAGAGGACTCCGACCAGAGTTCCCGAGGCTAGGGTTGTGCCTTGAGGGATCAGTGAGGCGTTGCCGGCGAAGGCACGGGTTTCCATTTTGGTTTTCTTGAGGGTGATTTCGTTGCCTCGGACTTCAGCATTCCCCAACAGCACGGCGTCAGCGACGAAGCTCTCCTCGCCGATTTCGAGGAGCTCGAATTGCAGGCCGCGAGCGGTTGATACTTCAGCGCGCTTGCCGATTTTTGCGCCCAGGGCTCGGAGGAATGGTACGACGTAGAGGGAGGCGAAGACCGGGTGTAGGACATCCAGGGCCAGATCCATGACTCTCTCGATGAACCATTTGCGCAGGAACCAGAAGCTGTAGATTTTGTAAGTACCCTCCTTGAGGCGACCGAGAAAGATGTAGCGAATGATGATCAGCTGAGCGAAGACTAGGACTTGGTAGGCGAATGCGATAGGCAGGGACAGGATGGCCACTTGTGTCCAGGAGCCGATGTGTCTTAAGTTGACGACGTCATAGAGCGCGAGACCGGCGATTTGTGGGATCAGGTATAGCAGTGGAAGGATGAAGGAAGCGAGGAGTGTGTGTCCGACAGCCATGAATGTATAGCGAGCGAAGGAAGGCCGGGACTTTCTTCCGAGTGCAATCTCTCCATCCTGGAGTTCTCGGTCAAACTGTGCCGGAGAGCCGTGGAAGCGTTGGAAGCATGGGATAGACATGCCGGTTGGAACCATGGAGAGCGGACCGACTTCAGCTCCTTCTTCGACGATAGCTCCTCCCTCGATGACACTGTTTGAGCCAATTCTGGCATCATGGCCGATGACGACGTTCCTCAAGATGAGGCGCCCTCGTTCGACGACGCTTGTGCCCAGTCCCACGTCTGTACCGATCACGACATCGTCACCAATCTCGACGAGATCGCAAGCTGCGCCGATTGCGAGAGCACCCATGTGGCAGTGTGCTCCGACCTTGGCTCCCATTGCTCGCAGAAAGAAGCAATACAGTGGCGAGTCGGCAATCAGCTTCGGATTGGCAAGGTACGCAAAACGTTCGGCCATCCACCAGCGGTAGTAGTAGAAGCCGTACAGAGGATACTCTCCTGCCTTGGCTTTGCCTAGGACCAACCACTTTCCTGCGATTGCGAGGAAGGCCAAGATAGGTGGTAGAGTGAGGAACACGCCATAAGCTCCAAGAATCGCGTAGCCGAAGCCGTGGTGGAGGAACAGCCAGTCGAATAGCAGATAAGGTGCCAGGATCTCGATGGAGTAGATGAAGAAGAGGAAGAGCAGTGGGATGATTTGTGCCAGACCGCAAAGCACAAACCTGGTGTTGGAGACGGGCCAGATTTCTCCAGTCCGGGACCCCGTACCATGAATTTCGTCGGGATCTTCCTCTGCGAGTGTGCTGGAGTCGGAGTCGCAAACGAAGCGTGCTGCGATTGCCGCGGGTGTTCGGCCTTCGTAGATGTCTGGGAGACCGATCGAGGCGAAAGGCATCGAGCCGTCAGGGTCAATCTTTGCTTGGCGTAGCTTTGACACTAAGATGGCAGCCAGAAGTGAGTGACCACCCAAGTCGTCAAAGAAGTCGGCTTCGGGATTTATGCGGCCTGCTTGCGGGAAGACGGTGGCTGTGGTTTTAAGCAAGAGACCAAGCGGACTGCTATCGTCGGACTCGAGCGTCGTTCCCGAAGCATCATCGTACATCATAGCGCATTGTGCAGCCTTACGAGCAGATATCTCATGCAAAGCTTTAGCGTTGATCTTGCCACTCGGCAATCTAGGCATCTCATCCGCGGCCAGGAAATATACTTCTTCGGGACGCATGTAAGCCGGAAGGCGTTCTACCGCTAATTTTTGAATCGAAGCCGCACTCTGTGGCGCTTGCGGTCGTGTGACAACAAAAGCTTCTAAACGAGCGGAGTCTGAGCCAGGATTCGCTAAAATGACTGCTGCGGCCTGCACGTCTTCGTGGCCAGAAATGAGTGATTCAATCTCGCCGAGTTCTATCCGGAAACCGCGATGTTTGACTTGAGTGTCGATACGTCCTAGGAATGCGATTTTCAAGTCGGATTGTAGTTTGACTCGGTCGCCTGTTCGGTAGAGTCGTTGTCCGCTCGTAGGTGCAAGTGGGTGTGGAATGAATTTCTGCGAGGTCAGGTCTTCGCGTCCCACATATCCGATTCCGACACAAGGACCACCGATGGCGAGTTCTCCTTCTACGCCTTCACCTAGTTGGAGTGGTTCGATAGGTCCTGCGTTGCCGTCTTCAGAGATGGGTAGTAGGCATGCATGGTAGGAAGGCAGTGGTCTGCCAATCGTAACGGGAACATCGGGCTGCAATTCGTCCCATGTAGCGGTGACTGTGGTCTCGGTGGGACCATACGTATTGATGATGCGGAGTCCTGGTCGCGCAAGTCGCGATACGAGAGAGGGCGGGCAAGCTTCTCCACCAAGATTAATTAGGCGGACAGATGGCGGGAGCAATGTGGAGTCGCCATCGATCTGTGAAATGCCCATGATGCCGATCAGTGTTGGGACAGCATTGACCACAGACACTCCACGACTTTGCCATACAGCTGGCAAGCCCGGTACGTCTCTACATTCCTCGCGTGTACCGATAGCCAAATGACCTCCGCCAGCGATGGTCACCCACATCTCTTCGACAAACATGTCAAAAGCCGGGCTGAAGCCGTTCCAGACGACATCTTCTGGGCTTGTTTCGAGAACTTCTCTTTCGCTGAGAGAGAAGACGAGCGCTGCGGAATGTGATATCGCTATGCCTTTCGGTGTGCCCGTGGTTCCCGATGTGTAGATCAGGTAGGCGGCATCAGAAGGTTTGGGAGCAGTCGGTGGTGATCGTGAGACTGATGAGCCTGCTTGTTGTGATAGATCGGCGAAGGTGCGCAGCTGTAATGAGCCTTTGCCTGATGATGCGAGATCAGGAGCGACGCGCTGCTGGACTTCGCGCGCACGATCGGAGTGAGCAGCATCGTGTATGATCAGAGAAGCCGACGCGTTTAGTACGCACGTTGCAGCACGTTCTACTGGCACGTCTGGGTCGAATGGAAGCCATGTCGCTCCAGAATATGTTGTTGCCAGAATACTCAGAATGAGTTCAAGGCCTTTCTCAAACCAAATGGCAACAGTGGGTGCCGATGTGCTTGATTCTCGTTCGGGAAGAAGCTGTGAGATTTGAGCGGCTACCGACGATGCAAGAGCGTCGGCTTCGGCATATGTTATCTTGCGGAGTCCATTATCGGTGTGACACGAATATGCTGTCACTTGGGGATGTGTTCTCGCTCGATGCTGGAAGAGCTGTGGTAGTGTAGTGACAGACTCAGGTGGGGATGGTGCAGTGGCAAGTCGATCAGCCCCTGTCAAAACTCTTGGATCTGCGAGCAGCCGCCGATAATCTGAGTTGTCAAACTGGGCCATCGATTGTCTTCGTATCGCATTTGCAGTCTTCAAAGAGAGTGATGGCGAAGTACTGCCTGCTTGAGGGATCGAATAATGAGTGGGTTGGTATGCGAATTCTGAACCTGGAGAGAAGTTGAAGTAGGGGTCGGCGATGCTTACTCCAAAGGCACAGACGAGATTTGAATGCCGTATATGAGATCAATGCCCCATGAGCATGGATTATGGTCATTATTGGAATAAGACCACGGGAGTTTATTTGCTTACGCCTCGCTGCGTGGCAGGCCCGAATGCGAGGGGCCTGATCCCTAAGCCACAACCAATTTGGATGCTCGCTAGAGTTTCGCAGTTATGCTTTCGTCCCGTTAAAGCAAATCTCATGTCAGTGCTCCGTACTCAGTCGTGTTACGCGTGTCGAACCCACCACGCACATGATGAACGCAATGCAGCTCGCCGCCGTTGAGGGCCAGATCATTATGTAAACCAGAAAAAGATCTGCGTTTTGGCTGCAAAGCATCGGCTGGATGATGACCCTTGGCCATGTTGGGAGGCACGCAGTAGCGCATTGGAGCGCATCAGGCAACCAGACGGATCATGCAAGACGGACCATGCAAACGTCATCCAGTCAGTCGTAGCATTGCCAAATTGTTGACAATCGTGAAGTGCAGCAATAGCCGCACGTGAAAGACCAGTATCATGGGAGTTCCAACCAAGCATTGCCAAGCAAAGCCAAGGCGCGGCAAGGCACATTAGGCTCTGGTACGGCACAGTAGTACAGCAGCAAGTGTCTCCGGTGAGCATGTGTGCCGCCGAGCCGCACAGCTCCCGATGGGAGGATGAAAGGCTTTCCTGTGCATGCATTAATACTGCTCTAGTCGTCCGTGATCCTCGCTCCAGGTGACGCGGCAAGATTTTGAAGGTACTGTAGAACCATGTCGCCGTGGCCCAGGCGCGATCCGACCGTCCCTATTGGAAAGGCAATAATAAGATGCCTTGGCGTTTCTTCAGCTTTGCAGCGGCGTGATCTTGCCGAGGCCTCCTGGCCCAGGGCTGAGATGAGCCAGTGGAGGTTTTCCGTATACACCGTAGTGGAGGCCGCAGGCGCTGCGGCGAGTGCTCTGGGCCCTTCGCTGCCGATCTCGAGACAAGAAGGGTCGGGGTGCCGTCAGCGGGGTGCTGGCATCTGGCCACTTTCCTCATGACATAATAACAAGCAGAATAGAATTCTTCGGTCGGCATGGCCTGTCGAGATCTCGTGCTTCAAATGGGTATAGGATGATTAGGCATTGAAAGCCTAAAGCACCCACGACGAGCACGCTTGCACATGCTTGCTTGAATAATACTAATCACGGCAGTCGTGTCGGCCTGTAGCGGAAGTGGCCACTAGCTTTGCTGACTCAATGGGAATATGCATACCATTACGAGGCCCAAAACAGTCATTCGTCTGTGTCGGATCCATCCGTGCTGCTTCAAGCCTTGCGCTGACGGATATTCTAAGCATGCCCAGCGCTGGTCGTGGCTATCCCTCACGGACAATGCCAGCGTCGGGAGTCACTTCACCGTGTGTACCAGGTGCCCGTGCCAACAATATGAAGTGAGGTATATTGTTGCCCCTGACGGCCCGTCAATCCATGGGTCTTGTGGTGCCCAGTACACTTTAAACGCGCACATTGCGCGGCCTCGTCTGCCCGGACACCGCAACATCGGACGATGAGCTGGTTTTGGTTCGAGCATTGCGCGTGCGTAAAGATCGTCAAACCATTTCGAACGTCGCGCAGTAAGACAGTGCGTAGTAGATGTGGGCATTATTATTACATCGACACAGCAATGTCTCCTCTCGTACATACAGGGGAGAAAGCGAGGTTGCCCATGTCCTTGTCTTGATTCGGATCTTGGCAGAGACAAATGCGGAGGAGGGGAAATGCCAAGACGCCCCCTCGACCTCACCTCCTTTACGAGTCCATCTCCATGTCATCACCGCCAACGGCACACACTCAACGTCATACCCACAACGTCATCGTACCAACATATGCATTTCCGGCTGGACTAGCTGATTTGTTCTATATTCCTGTCGCCAGTTCTACCATAACGATCTCTCGAAGCACGTGCTGTTCGGGTCCATGAAAAGCCCATATCTGGAGCCCACGTGGCGGTAAGCTTTCTGACAGCCTTCTCAAGTGTGGATCGCAACCTACTCCTCTGCAAGACATAACGGTACCTCACTTGCCGTGCGCTCGAGTTTTCTGCTTACACGGCTCGATCGTTATTAGACCTCTAGAGCAACGAGAAGCTACGAATCCTAGAGCGAACGAGTGTATACATACCTATTAGGGGAACATACGAGAGAGTAAGCACATCCCACCTGCTTCTTGCTCGAGTCTCCTCTCTTTTACCTCTCCCTCGGAATCCTATATCCTTAGCATCGAGAGGCTACGATTCTTCGAGCGACCGAGAGAAGAATCTAAACTTAGAGAATCGACGCTCGCTCTAGATTCTCTTCCTCCTATTCTACGCCGGAATTAAACCTCCTTAATATAGCAATGCTACGATTTCCTAAGCGACGGAGAGAGTATACTCGCGCTTATACGAGTTATACCTTACTTAAAGCTCGCTCGAATTTCTTATCTTTACTTCTCGCTCGGCATTAAACGTCCTCTTAACTATCGAGTGTGTACGAATCTTCGAGCGTGCTCTAATCTAAGAGAGGATTAGGTAGTATTACTCGCAGGCGCTCGAGCAATTTTACCTCCGTAACTAACTCTATCGTATTATCTAGCAGCGTTAAAAACACCCTATTATTCGAGTAGTAGTACAAATCTAAGCATGCTTGCGTAATGCTAGGTAAGGGTATAAGATCTTACTTTACTTTACTCTATAGAATTTCTCTACTACATTTGCCTCTATACTCTCTCCCGGTAGCGTCGAGTATACGGAAATATACGGGCGACTAGTTAGCTCTACTAGCACTTAGACGAAAAGGATTTAAAATCTCTCTTCGCTTTCCTTTAGGGAAATCTCGTCCGCTACTACCTTTAGAGTATCTTCTAGTAGTATTAAATCCTTATACGGAGGAGAGAGTACATCCGTAGGTAGCAAAGTATAGGTAAGAAGCTATATATTACTCGCTTCTCGCTCTAGCACATTCTTCTCCGCTATTACTACTTCGTTTCTACTTAAATATATAAGAAGAGACTAAACGCTCGAGAAGTTCTCCCTTATATTTCCTTCCGAATCCGCTCCCTATTCTATAAAGGACCTCTATCTACTCGAGCGACCTAACGAATTTACTTCTATATACCTTTAGTCCTCGTTCTAAATCCGCTCCTAGTGCTTTTAAAGGCCCTAGAACTCTCGAGCGCTTAGCAAAATTGTTTGTTTCTCTATAGAATATATTATATATAAGAGAAGATATAGCCTACCCGAAGCTCGCTCTAGTATATTACTAATACTACCTTCTATAGATTTTCTCTTAGTAGCTTCGAAAACCCCTAGTACCTAAACGATATCTCGAAAGAACTTGTGCCCTCCGATAAAATATATAAGGAAAGATATTGCTTACCTTAAGCCCGCTCGAGCGCGTTATTACCCCTACTTATCGTAGATTGTCTCTTAGGAGCTTCGAAAACCTTAAGCACTCGAAGCGCACCTAGCAATTGCTCGCTTCTAGCTGTTTTACGTAAGAAAAGATCAAACTTCCCCGAAGCGTGCTCGAGTACATTTTTGCCGCTACTCGTTATAGATTTCCTCTTAGCGGCTTCGAATACCCCCGAGCACTCGAAGGGCACCTCGAAATCACTCGCTTCTAGCCACTTTGCGTAAGAAAAGACACACTTCACGTAAAGCCCGCTCGAGTACGTCGTTACTCCTACTCGTTATAGATTTGTCCCTTAGTAGCTTCGAAACCCCTAAGTACTCGAAACGTCCCTTAAAATCACTCGAATCTAACCATTTTACGTAAGAAAAGACACGCTTTACGTAAAGCCCGCTCGAGTACGTCGTTACTCCTACTCGTTATAGATTTGTCCCTTAGCAGCTTCGAAACCCCCAAGTACTCGAAACGTCCCTTAAAATTAATCGAATCTAACCATTTTACGTGAGAAAAGCTACGCCTCACGCCTACCCACTCCAAATCTCAACACACTACAACTTCATACGAATTTCTACCCACTCCCTCGGCCTTCCCAACCAAAAAGAAAGGAAACCCCTACTCCATCTCCCCCAAAACATACTCCCAAACACCCCTCTTCTCATCCTCCCAGCCCTCCAACCACCCACGAATCCCCTCCCCAATTCTCTTCCCAGCCTCCCGCCAACTCATCTCTTTTGGTAATTTGAAAGCTCCAAGTTTCTTCAACGCCTCATCGTCCGGGAACTCGCCTTCAAAAAATCCGAAATACGGGCAGAGGTAGGATGGATCGAAGGTTTCTTTTCCGAGCTCCTGGGCGAGAGATTTGGCGATGGAGGTGGACCTAGGAGGACCCGGGGAGCGGTTGGAGAGGAGTTTGAGGGTGGAGGATAGTTTGGAGGTTGCTTCGGCGAGGGATTTTATGGAGCGGTCGGAGAGGGAGAAGGAGGTGGATTTTTGGAGAGGGTATGGACAGAAGACTTTGGTTCGGGTGGTGATTAGGAAGTGCTCCATGAGACTGAGTTTCGGCGTACTGTGATCGAGCCAGAGACGGAGAGCTTCAAGGCTGATGTAGCGCTCAGTGCTCGGGTCGATGTAGCGTGGGAGACAGCCTGTCTTCTCGCAGTGTTCCAAGCAGTGGTTCAAGCCACGCTTCTCCATGGTATTACCGAAGTGGGCGACAATTGTCGGGAGTGTGAAGGGACCGAGAGGATCAATTGTATATTTGGCGGCCAATCCGAAGAGCAGAAGGTACCAGGCTTTAGCGCCTTCATCATGCGACCTGAAAATGCCGTTGTCGAAGGGGATGAAGGTCATGTTGGGGTTGGCTGTTAGAGTATTGAGGAAGAGGACAGCCGCGGCTTCCAGATGCTGGAACGGCCTCATGCGAGTCGCTACTGGGAGCGCGCACCACGAGATCAGGGTGGCGAGCATGTAGCAGAAGAAGTGGTGTTCGCAACTCTGGAGATTGTAGATCGTGGCCTGGTTTTTGGTGATGAAATGGCCAAATATGATCTTGTCCTCCAGGTTCTGGTCGAGAGCTGCAGCAAGGGACGCTCCAAGCCAGGCGGACCATACAATCAGTCCCTTTTGAATGTAATGGGTTGCTGATAGTGGCGCGGAGACAGGCGTGGGCGTCAAGGTCTCAAAGGCGGGCAGTGCAGCTGGTGCAGACAGGGAGGGCTCGGTGACGGATTTCTCGGCGGAAGGCTCAGGGGTCGAAGTAGAAGAAGATGGAGGAGGAAGTGCTGGTGCCGTAGTGGTGGTGACTTCGATCTCCGTCTCCACATCGCCGTCGGTGTTCCAAACAGCGGAAGGCGCTGGCGATTGCTCGGGCGAGGGAGAAGCTTCTGGAGCTGGCTGAGGATCTGAGGTAATGGATGAGTCCTTTCCTCTTTAGAGGGAAAGAAAAGGTGTGACTTACTCTGACGAGTGACACGCTTTGACTGCGGCGTTCTCAGTGGACGTGATAGTCCTGCTTTAGAGGACTCAGCCTTCTCGGATTTGACCCTTGATGAAGTCGCCTTCTTCGGCGTCTCCTGCTTGGGCAGCGCAGTCGGCTCGGAGGAAACTTTCTTGCGAGGAGCCTTCTTGATGCCCTTCTTGGCGACTGAAAGATCTTCGTCCTTGATCTTTCTAACTTCTGCCTCAGCGTATAGCTTCACTGCGCCAAAGTTAGTATGTGTCATCAGTATCTCGAGGGCGCACCTACATTTCTGCGTCTTGCGTTGATGGTTCTCAAGGATTTTCTTGAGTGGTGGCCCAAGGCGACGAATGTCAGCTACCAGGCCATATGCAGACTCTTCTGAGTTCCGGTTTTCCATGTTCTCCATGATCATGCGGAGATCGGCCATGTTACGACCTTCCGGGCCTACTATGGAGAGCAACGCCGGCCAGAGAGAGTCTGGCGCGCGTCCCCATTGCTTGCCCAGGTATGGCTTGAGGTCGTCCCATGTTGGGTTGTCGCTGAAGGTGACAAACTTGGCTGGGTCATGTCAGTGAATGTCTCCCGCATCTGGCAATCAGTTAGAAGTGACGACTTACGTGCATGATGATCGCTGACGACGAGACTGTGCAGAGAGCGGACACTCTGGTCATCACTGACCTGCTTGTGCTTGAGGATGTTGTACCGCCGAATGTCAAAGAGTCGCCGCATGAGTGAAGGAAGGATATCGTTCTCAATAGCGCTGAGCTGGACAGCTTCGGTGATCCATTTCGTAATGATGTTAGAAGATTTTGAGCGCGCTGTCTTGCCGCTTGCCACTCTGTCCTCGTTGTCACGGTCAACGAGCTCCTTGTTGGTGTAGTAGTATGCGACTGCAAGCAGCTCGTCGTGGCGCAGCGTCTTGGGGCGGTTGTTGAAAAGGCGCGTCGCATAAGCCTCGGACGGCAGTGGAGGCAGCAAGTCCATGGTGACTGGTGTTGCAAGCTTCGGTATGCTGTGCGACTTGTTGATCTGCTTGGAAGACGCAAGAAGCGGCCAGTCGTGGTGGATGTTGGTGTGTGTATCGAAGTCATAAACGCGAGGCAGCTCCTTAAACAGTTCACCGCTGCGAAGGCGACGACAAGGTCCGTGCACATGCACAGGTCGCGCGATAAGGGTCTGACGAGAGCCTGTGAATGGTCAATTGACGCCGTTGCCCTATGTGAGTGATTGCAGCCTGTTTGCAAATGAGGCCGCATGACTGTTTTGGCGAGCATGATTCACTTACTGGAATTCGCGATGTGTCCTGACTACCAAGAGGCGGCCACAGTTGCCGTGCTCTGGTGGAGCTTGTGAACGAGGATATTTTGGTGTGAATGCGAAAGGAGTGCCTCTGATTAGGATGGGTTGAGTCCAAGTGTTGGCAATGGCAGCTAAATGGTGCGGATGAAGGGTCTGTTACAGTAACGAGCTCCACAGACTGTGCGATGACGGTTTCCAGAGTGACAAGAGTGACGACTGACGCGTTGTCCCCGTGGTCAGCAGCGTGTGCTATGTTAAAAGGCCGTGAAGTCTAAACAGACAACAGCCGGGCGAAGGCTTCTTCGCAGCACAGTTCCACGGTGCGTACAGCAACGATTTCTAGAGTGATAAGAGTGACAAGGAACGCGTTGACCATGGTCAACAAGTTGTGCCGCGGTAAGAGCTCGTGAAGTTAGGACAGACAGCGATGATGATTGTCAGTAGGTATGGGAAGATCTGGGCAGCAGCTGTCTTGGGCATGTTGACCCCGTGCAAAAGCCGCATTCCATGATGATGAGAAGGCCAGAGCATGCGTAAGCCTGCAGTACAAAAGGCCCATCCCATCTTGGGAGCAATGCGTGTATAATATACAGATGGCCAGTTTCTTTCGGCTTCAGTAGCGAGCGGCAGGCAATAACGTGAGAGAAGAAACGAGGAAGCGTCGGAAGTCTCTGGAATCTGGCAGGCGCCAAACGAAAGACGGCGAAGGAATCTGCTTTTCTCTTTTCCGCACCAGCCAAGATTCGAGACCAGCCAAGTGTTCCGGATCGAGACCGTTTGGCGTGAGAGGGAAAGCGAAATGAGAAGCACCAGATGAGAATCGTGAAGAAAAGCTTCTATTAAATTTCATCGTTGTCTGTCGATGGGTATCTTCTTCTGGTGTCTATCGTATGCTCGCGAGTCCAGCTTTTTGCAAATCCAGATCGAAAAATATTTTCCAGGATCCCTTCCTCCACCCTCCTCTGCCCTTTCCCAACTCAAATATACTTCTTCTCTGGATCTACCCTCTCCAGAACCTCCATAGTCTTCTCATACATAGCAAAAACAATCCCCCCACTGAACATAAGTCTCCCCAACCTGGGCAGCGCTCCACTCCACAACTTCAAAACCCCCTCCTGCCTCAAAATCTTCAACCCACAATCCAGCGAATTCTTATATTGTCCCTTCGAATCAATCGCCTGCATCCTCGTCTTCACCGTATCAATCGGCTGCGTAGCATAAACCGTAATCGTCCCCGCCACAGCTCCAATCCCAAACGTCGCCAACGTCCCAAGTTTCTCCCCGGGAGATGTATACGACTGCGCCAACTGTTTGAGCGAAGTATAACTACTAAACCTCACGGCGGAATTCGCGGCTTGCCGAGCCGTGGTGGGAACGAAACCTTTGAAAAACCCTCGAAAGCCTTGTTCTCGGAAGATTAACGCTGAGCCGTGGATGAAACCTTTCATTCGAGGGGAGGAACGTTTGCGGTCGTCGATGAGTTGGGTTTTTATGGATTCGAAGGGTGTTACTGCGACCAAACTCTCAGTGGCTCCGGCGAGGAATCCTGAGACTACGGTCATAGGGCCGGATATTTCTCCGTCCGAGTTTGAGAGGAGGGATTTGTATTGGTCGAAGGCGACGAAACGGACGCCTGCTTTTATGCTGTTGCCGATTATGAGGGTTGTGCAGCCTGCGTACCATTGCGGGCCGAAAGGTGGGAACGGGATGGGTTTGGAGGTTGAGGAGGCGGCGGTCAGGCGTTGGTTTAGTTGGGTTCGGGTTTTGGCGAATTCGGCTGGGTAGGTGATTGCGATTTCTATGGCTCCGGCTGTGGAGCCTGCGAGGATGGAGCGGAGGGGGGAGGGCTTGTCCTTCTTGGTTGAAGGGATGGGTGTTGATGTTGCGTTTCTCGTTGAGGGGACGGTGGAGGTCGCCATTGTGGTGTAGGCCGTCGAAAAGGCTGAGAGGAAGGCGGCTGTGTTATCGCTGGGGATATGGTGGACTCATGTGGCCTTTGGTTCCTCTGGTGTTCGTGTTGTTGCTCTGAGGTGCGATTGTTCTGGGTCGTGTCCACAGGCAAGGTAAGGTGAGACGTCGGTGCTATGCTGGGCTTAGACTGTGATGTGTATGTCGGCGTGCCTCGATATGGTAGTGCAGCGCCTTCCTCTCGATCATCAATTGCACATGAAAGGGCGCAGGGTGAATAACTGAATGTCTGTCAAAATGTGGCCGACGTCGCATCAGCGTCACGGTGCCGAGCAGCCAATCAATTGGCGCTGAAAATGATCCAAGCTCCTGGATCGAAGAAGTTCATCGCGTCAGGCAAAAAACATTCGCCTTGGCTGTCGCTGTCCTTCTCCCTTCATCACCGGTAATAATCTTTCATCTTCTCCAAAATGCTTTCCCGCGCATTCGCTCGCGCTGTCCCGCGCACAACATCCCGCATCGCCACCACTTCTCTCCGCCCAGCATTCACCTCATCCACTCGCAGCCAAATCAGTTCTATCAGCAGACAAGCGCCTCGCATCGCCGCATTCTCGACATCGCAATGGAGGAAAGATGAACACGCACAACACCTGGCTGCCAAGATTGACGGCGAGATCAACATCGAGACTTCAGAATCTGAGGCGCAGGCGGGCAGTGACGAGAATGTGAAGCGATTCCAGGACGACAACCCGTGGTGGACCATACAAGACACTTTGGGCGAGCAGGATGTCTACTTCAAGCGCGACTTTGAGGATGAGAAGATTACCGTCCACTTCAGCATTGCCGATTTCGACAACCAGTACGGGGAGAGCCCAGATGGAGACTCTGCGCTGGGCGATGAGTATGACGGCATGGAGGATGGCCAGAGTGGTGGTGTATGTCAACGACGACAAGAGCATCAGCGCTTCACATACTAACTTGTGCCCAGGCCAACTCCAAGGATGCCATCAACCAAGGCCGAAGAGGCGACCAAAACTTCAAAGTCGCTCCCGAAGACAGCGTCGCACCTGCCGACCGCGAAGAGCTCGCCGATGAGGAGGACCAACCCCAGCCATTCCCCGTCACCGTCTCCGTCCTCGTCCAACGCCAGAACAAGGGCGCCCTCAAATTCATCCTTGTCGCTCAGGACGGCGATTTCGAGATCATCCAAATGCAACAATTGCCAAAAGACCTCAAGATCCAGAACATCAACGAGATCATCCGAAACACCCCCGAGCACCTCTACCTCGGCCCACCTTTCCAGCAACTCGATGAGGAGGTCCAGGGTATTGTTGAGAGCTACCTCAACGCAAGAGGCGTGACCGAGTACCTTGCACAAGTCATTCCCGACTATATCGATGTTAAGGAGCAGAAGGAATACCTTGGTTGGTTGAACAGGGTCAAAGACTTTGTGGAGTAGAATTGATGAAGAAAGTGATGGGGATATGTACGATGAGGGAAAGAGAAGATAGCAATGCCGCAGCACTGCGACTGCAGAAGAGCTCGTCCGGAAGTGGACATCATATCAGCCAGCGTTTCATCATCACGACCGGCGTGAAACGGCGTAGATCGGCCAGGTCATCTTGCTTGGGTGTTTTGAGGTTTCGCCTCGTGCATATGTACATCATTCGAAATAGCATAACAACTCTCCGCCTCTAAATCAAGAGCAGACTGGAGCATTTCAAGCTCAACATCGATCCCAGCTTAGAGCTAGAATACTGACGGTCAATAGCTCCATCGAAAAGCAGAAGAAAAAAAAAGCAAAAATAAACTTGATAATCGCCCACCAATCAAGGCCTTCCGGCAGCGTTCTAGCATCAAATTCGACGATTCTCGTCGTCAAACCTATGCCATCATGGCCGCACTACTTTCTGCCCAAGTGCCAGACGCTGCACTTGATCAGAGAATGAATGTCGAGAGCAGTGAGTGTTTTGGGTGCGTTTTTGAAGCTCCATTGATCTGCGCAGACATTGAAGGTGGAACTAATAATTCAAGGTCGCGATGAAAAGAATGTGCATCTCGTGGCTGGCTTTCAATTTGTTAGATATGATGAATTCATGCGTACTTCGACCGTTCGGTTACAAGGCAAGAGTCTGACCATGGGCGCCGCTTCATTCTAAAAGCTTGTCTCGTTTCTATTACGCCTGGCTGGTATCGACAAAGGTAGAGGATGATTACTGCAGTCCGCATATTACCAGAGGAAGTCGAAAATAAAATAAATAAATAAACAACACTCAGTCAGCCGCGGCTACACTGCTTACAAAAAGCTATAGAAAAGCAATCGACCCGGCCCATCGAGCGTTACACAACGCAGCCTCCTCCGACGGCTACGTTCTAGAAAGGAGTTGGGGGGTCGCTACGCCCTCAGCCAGAATGCATACCTGTTTGCTGCTGTCTTGAACTGCACCCTAAATTCAAGCAAGACCCATTGAGACGCCATCCTTGCTCGACTTCCCTTCATTCAAGCATGGTGTGCTGGAAAATCTTCATTTCACCATCCTTGAGTTGAGCGCTCATGACTGATCATAGATTTTGCAGTTCAAGCTGTGCTCGTCAAGCGATCACGACCATGAATCAGCCGCTCCGACGTTGTACGGCTACAATAATCTGAAAAGTCATTGCGAATAATGTTGGTCCTCGGAAGGTCTTCTCGGCCCATCAGCTTGCCAGTCTATGCAACATCTGGCATCGCGGCATCTCAGTACGCCCGCAGAGGCCAGAAGCTCCGGAAAACGCACCTCCCTACTCGTGTCCCACTATGTTGGTCATCTCCTCCAGATGAGGAGGCAGTTGTGTCACTGTGCCGGCAAGGCGAGCGGTCTATGTGATGATGAGGTAAGTATCTGTCAGACTTACACGGCCCAGGATACGCCACTGAGATCGATCCAGAAGTCCCGGAGACTCTTCCTGCCTTAATACTTTCATCGGTTTCGACAAATTTCAAGGATGTGGAGTAGGCTAGGCTTAAGGTAGCAAGGTTCAATACTTCATATCGGCGCAGTGGAGTCATCGACCACTTCTCTACCCAGCCCTTGGGATTATCACGTGGAGGACCTTGCTAGAACAGCGGGTAGTTTCAGTCGGTTCTTGGACGACTCTACCCACACATTGCAGACGCTGTTGCTGCGCACGTCCTTGTCCATCGACCCGGATAGTGATGCCTTGCGCTTGAATCTGGATAGGAGAGAGCGCTGCCTGATTGAGTACTTTTCTCAGTTGTCAACACGGAGGCATATATGCTGAGACCTTGACGTCGACTTCCATTTCCGGCTTCAGAGAAACGCTGCTCTTCCTGCAACAACACTTCGTCGGCTGCTCGACCTTACTTCGCAAGCTACAGAGATGTACGCATTTACAATGATGGCCATTTTCGACTCGTATCTAGAGCGTGGTCAAGGTTTGCCGTCCAGGAAGCAGCTGTGCGAGCTTTTCGTGAAGCGTTTCGAAACTGTGAAGCAGCACGACAACGTCAAGAAATTCTTCGCCAACTTCGATACCGCGAAGCGTGAATTGAGAGACAAGCACTACAACTGGTACAATCGTCGTGCCATCGAATAAGAGCGTCCAATCTTTGATAGGCGTGGTCGGACGCGAATGGATGCTCTTGGTCAGGCACTGGACCTCGTCCCGAGCACCGGATTCAACAGGTCGAGAAGAACGTCCCAGATTTACAGCTGTCTTATTTCCCATGATGATTCTCTCAAGGACGAGTGGACGCAACAGTTCTTGGAGTCACAACCTGGCCAATTCTTCTCTATTCGAGTTCTTACCTCTTTGGTTCTGGATGACTGGGCCAGAGTAGAATAAGGAAGGATAATATATCTCTTGCTTTCCCAACGTCTAAGCGGAACTTGAGAGGCCTGATAAACGGCAAAAGAAATGTGCAGTACGTGACTTCGACGTCCCAATGCAGAGAACTTGTAGCAAGAAGTAAAAAATATGCAGAGAGTGGCAAAAATAACAAACACCCAAATAAGGCTGGACAATTAGGGGATCGAACCCTAGTCCTTCCGCACATCGAGAAGATGCAAAGCGGACGCGCTACCACTGCGCCAATTGCCCTGATCTGATAGGGCAGGTGGTGGCCAAAATAATATATAGTTGGAGCAGGAGCTAGGAGGTAGCGGAATTTCAGCTCGGTGGGGCCCGCCAAGCCTGTAAGAGACAACTTCCGAAAAGAAGGGGAATTCGATTAGAGGTATTCGCAAAGCCAATTGATGCTATTGAAAACATCCGTTAGAGTCCACTGGAGATGTATCTCACAATTATGAGAAGTACTTTGCTCCCAGACATTGAGAAGCATATCGAGTTTTAGAAGGAAGAAAGCTTTTCCGAAGATCCGAATCCGAAGAAAAGCGATTGCAGAGCGAAGACAAACAAGCAGCGACCGAGACAGATGAGATGCTGGCATGTCTACAACAGAATGACAGTTTAATGTCTGGTAGTCTTTCATGGGAAGGAACTTGAGGTCTCAGGCCGACACGGAAGCCGACGGTAAGCATCATGACCAGAACACAGACTGAACAAATGACAAGATCCAGACCTCAGGGCAGCAATCAATACTATAAGCCACCTACTATCCTCATTGAAGCCCCTGTCCTATACCTCAATAACTTCCTCATCAAACCTACCCTCGACTACATTCGACCATGCCAAGCACCAGCACGAGAAGAACCATGTTCCAGCAAGTTCCACCAACACCTATTCCTGTGCTTTCACTCGAATACATGCAGGACCGCGGCGCCGTCTGAATCATACCACAATATTGCTTCACCATGCAGTACCTGCTTGGCAGGAGAACCACACCTTCCCATTCGTCCTCAACCAGAACGCCACAGTCGCGCAAACCGCTAATGCCAAGGCCTTCTCCCATTCAGCTCTCTTCCGGCCCCAAAACTTCGTCTCCTGAGACAATACGGCCAAGAAACCACGCATAGTCAAGGGGGATCAAAGTATCATAAACACAAAATATAGGTATTGCCCTTTCCAACCCCAACCCAGCTCCAACTCCCTTCCCCCAACAACCATGCATCCCTCAACCCTCCCACTCCTCCTCTCAGCAACCCTAGCAACCGCACTCCTCAACCTCCGAGCTTCAACTTTCACCCACCTCCTCGGCCGCCAAACCCTCCCACTCACCACATGTTTCGGTTCCGCCCCCTCTACTGAACTCAATCCTTGTGAATATATCTGTGGAAAGGGGTCTAGACAATGCGTGAGTGAGGGAAACTGTTTTAATCCTAGTAAGGGGGAGACGTGTTGTGAGGATGGGAGTAAGTTGAGATTGAATTAACGAAGGAGAGGAAATAAGTTCGCTGACGGTTTTCAAAAATAGCGTATTGTCCGGAAAAGTCTTATTGTTCTAATGAAGGGTGTTGCGATGAAAGTTTGAGTTTGGAGGAATGTGGTGCTGTTAGGACAATTGGGACGCTCGCTGGGGAGTATTTTGAGACTTCGACGGCAGGACCTGAGACAACTCCTACTGTTTCTGCTTATGAGTCAACCTCTGCTATCATCGATCCAGCGCCGACATCTTACTCCTCCTCGTCGAAGTATCTTGAGCAGCCAACTCCATATTCGTCAGCACCAACTTCTTCATCTTCATCGATAGATGTGACGATCTCGCCGACGATTCCAGCTTATCCGACTTCAGCTGAGACGAGCGGTACGAATTCTACGCTCCCGTCGTATACGCCTGCTCAGCAGACGAGAAATTCTGGGCTCAGGCGTGAGGTTGCTGGATGGACGGTTGGCGGGTTGGCGGCGTTGGGGATGGGGTTCTTTGTTTGAGTCTGATGTTCTGAAGCTTGCAGGGGATTTGATGATGTCGGATCAAGTATTTCCCAGGTCGAGTTAAAGGTGCGGATTCGGAGGATTGGCTGTTTCATGGACTAGTGATAACTTAGCTAGAACCTGTCGGAAAGTTATAACGTCGAATGATCAGAACGGAAGCAAAACAATCGCCCTCATCTCGACGTTAAGCGATGAAGGTTGATCATGTCTTTTTGGCATCTGATGCCCGTCACTCATGCAGCGGATGTATGCATTCGAATCGTACGGGTACTGCAGCATCACAGGCCGTTTCAAGGACATCATCATCCGGGGCGGCGAGAACATATACCCACTGGAGATCGAAGAACGTCTCGTCCAGCATTCGGCTATCGATCGAGCCATTGTCGTGGGCTTACCGCATCCCCGTTATCAAGAAGTTCCTGCCGCGTTCCTGTAAAGGGCTGAGGGAGCCGCTCGGCCGAGCGACGACGAGATCAGGGAGTGGATTCGAGCCACGCTCGGCAGACATAAAGCCCCGGCTCATGCATTGACGCCAAATGGAATGGTGGCGAAGTTGGAAAATTGAATTGCAGAGGACTGCTGCTTCCCCCAAGCCAAGCCCAACGCCAAGACCAAAACTGTTATGAAGTTGAGATTGTGGATGATTGTGTAGAGGAGGAAGGCTAATTACAAAGGTGGAGCCGTCGCTCTATTAGTCAGCCAACCCCTGGACCGTTACTTCCTTGTTCCGTAACAAAAACACCGCCCAATAATTCACTCGTACATCTGCAACACCGCCTGCTCCTCATACTGTAGATCCTCAGTCTTCTCTGCCATCTTGATTATTATGCTCTGGGCAGCGTGCCTGGCCCGCTCCGCCATGAGACTGAAATTGGACGATGGAACTTGCTTGCTATTGGTGTCAACGAGGGAATGTGTCCGAACCGGGTAATAGTGGTTATGGAGGAGATTTTCGTTTCCCTGAAGATATTTGTGTTTGATATGCCAGAGATGTAACAAACATATCTTACCTGAATCTGTGGATTTTGGTTGATGTCTCCTGCTATTGGTTGGCATGCTGTCAAGAAAGGAAATTTGGACGAAGGGAAAGAGCAAAAGGTGTTGGGCAGATTTGTGTTTCGGAGGTGTCGGCTCTTGGGGTTCGATATGCTAGGGAGGCGGGAGCTAAGATGTTGCTTAACCCACTTCAAAATGATGTGGTTGGAAGGTGTTGGTCCGCATGCTGTGTTCGAGTGTGCTAGGGTGCATGCTAGTATGGACACCTCGATCGAAGTTGTGATCCAATCCGAATATCACCAATCGGAGGCATTTGGCGTATGCTGGAAGTAATGTGGATTCAAGGGAGGAGTTTGATGAAGTTATTAAGGCTATTGCTGATGGTATGTACTGGACTTTGATGCCGCTGACGCTTTTGAAGGTAGCATACTCAACCCCCAAGCCACAATCACCGCGAGAATACCGCTATCGAAAGGTGTCGATGAAGAATTTGGCGCTTTGCTGAAGGACCGAGAAAACGATGTCAAGATCCTGGTGCATCTCTGAGTCTTGATGCTACAACGCGCAACTTCCATCTTGAAGTCAATTTCAAGTCGCTCTGAAGAAAATAATAGTGCAAGTGTTTTGCCCTCGAGTCTGTGCATGTTCGGAGACAGGAAGTCTCATCCACGACATGTGGTCTGGTCGTGGAGAATCTGCGGCAAGGAGGAAAGGTGCCGAGATCTCGATAATTCTGTAAAGGAATGCCTCCTTGAGCAGAAATATGCGCGCTCTGCGTGCGATGTTTGAGACTGGACCACTGTCGATGACCCGCTGAGCACTACTCCAACTACATGGCGGATTTGTGCATCGCGTCGAAGATCCCGAATGATGGCCGTCTCATCGAAGGACCTCATCCAGCCGCTCGATCATGGGACAGCAAAGCAGCTTGACCTTCCCTTCCGGCCGAAGTCTGCTGAGCACGAAGCGCTCAAGCGAAGTGCACTCCCTCGAAGTGTAGTTACGAGTGTACTTGACCTGCTTGGCGTGACGAGCACAAGCCAGCATTGCGTCGATGGCAGCTGGAATGCTTTCTTCTTTCCTTAGGTAGAACTTGTCGTGAAGTCCGCCCGCGCTGCAAGGCGGGGGAGGAATAGTACCCCTTTGTTGCTCACTGTATATCGGACATACTTGCTCGCAGAGCGTAAGCAGGTCCAGACGTGACTTGCTGAGCTTCTCGAGCGCTGTTGCGAGTCTCAGAGGATCATCTTTCGTGACTCTAAGGTCAATGACGACCGAAAGTCTGCGTATATTTACGACCTGTAGCGGAATAGAGTCGAAGAAGTTGGAAATGACCATGGCATTTTCGAATTTAAAAGTGTTGAGTCCATAGAATATTTTCGATGCTTCTCGTCGAACCTGTCTGGAGACTCGTAGCAACGCTGTCGTCGATACTTCTGGCAGCACGTAACACGGACGGCCCCAGTCATTTGACGCGGTGCTCCGTTGCAGTGCCACGTGAAATAATATGGGCTCTCGGGTATCTCCAAGCTGCCTCATAACCGCTAGCGGACGGCTGCTTGCAATATCCAGCTCCGTGTCAAAGACCAGAGAGAGCTGGTAGATTCTGTTTCGGAGCTCCGGAGGGAGCTTAATGAAAAGGAACATTCCTGCTCTGGTAGGCTCCAAGTAATGCCGCAGGGCAACTCTCGCTGCTTTCGGACAGACTTTGAACACATCCCCATCGTCAGACCATTCAATGGGCAGGTCGTAACTGCTAAACGCCAGGTGTGTGTCCTCAAATGGATTTCGGTTCAAAGGAGAAAGGCTGGCGCGGGCAATCAAGCGGGCGTAATGCACGAAGGTATCGATTGTCCACTTTTCCAATTCCTAGATGGTCGTGTACGAGAAGTCCTGCGAGGCACAGGCCATGATCATGAGCTCACAAGCAGAGAAGGGTGGCCTGTCTGACGCCATTCGATATGGCTCAACGAGATCTGTGATCTCTGCCCGCAATTCGGATTGCGCTAGCTCGGTCTTGAGTCGCATGTCCAATGTTATAGTTCGACTCATGGCGCGCTTGGAGTCGCTTCGCGTGGTGAGACGGTTATTTCATGTATTCTTGATAAATGGGTGCTTGATAGACCGTTGCTGGGTAATGTTTGGTTGACGATGAAGATGGCCAGGACTGTGGAATCTACGATCAGCGCTTGCCTGGCGTCAAAAACGATCAATGGAAGTCGCGATATGCGGTTGCCTGTCTCCATTCAGATGCTCCTCCCTCCAGATGGGTGAGCTTGATGTGGATGTGGTCAAACTTGTTTCAAATCAATGGCAATGCTTGGATCTGTATTAGTCGAAAGACGAGCTACTGTATCTTTGGAGCTCTGACATTCTCTTCATGTGATGCCAAGACCCGCGTCACTCACTTCGGACTACGTAATTTCATCTTGAACGTCGTCTGGTGGCGAGTCTAAGCAAAAGGAATGAACAGAAGCCAAACGCGAGCAAAATTGTTCCTTACCCATTGAAATGCATTCAAACGCTCAAAGCCAACGCCTTATTTCACAATATCGCCGCTGTTGAAATCCATATGCCTGGAGACGCCGGGAAAGTCCTTCTGAGTCTCCTTCTTCCCTATCCGACAACGCAAAGTTCTCTCCGATTCAGGCTGCAACCATCCTTCAGAAAAATTTGAACTCGTCGCGCTCCCTCTTGTCGACATCAGGACAGCACAGCATCTTGACTGTCGGTCGATGAGCGACTCTGCTCAGGATAAAGCGCTTCAGAGAGGTACAAGTCTCCGTGTAGCCAACCTCGACACTCTTCGCCCGCTTTGCCATGGACAAAATGGGCTTTAGTAAATCTTCGACTTCTTCGTAGTATCTGTCATGCACGCCAGTCTTATCACATTTGTAGCAATCCATCGCCGGTACATCCTCAAAATATTCGTAGGAGATCATTAGCTTGTCAAGTCGAAGCTGAGGAAGATGCATGAGCTGGCGCAGCGACTGTCTGACGTAATCCTTGTACTCGCCGTACTTCATGTCCTCGATCCGTAATGTAATATATACGAGCCGCAGTCGCTCGAAATTGCTCTTCATTCGCAGAGCCGTGTCCACCAACTCCTGTTGGCACTCAAAGACGAATGTGTTCAGACCGTAAAAGACGCCGATACTCTCTTCGTAGACTTGCTTGCAGGTCTGTGTGAGTACTAAATCGGCGACTGGACACTCCACAATAAGTACCAAAGACGAATTGGTTGCCCTCTTAACTTGGGAGAAGTGAAGCCGACTATTTGACGCGTAATGCCGAATATCATTGTCTATGTAGACCACTTGACCTCTTGTTCCTTACCCAGACAGCATTATATCAAGCTGTAGAGATAGAGGAGTGCTGTACACAAAGAGGAGCTTGTAGATTCTGTTTCGAAGCTCAGGTGGTAGATCTGGGAAAGGTATTTTGCCTTTCCTAATCGGCTGCGTACATTCGTTTAGGTGGAATCGTGCTGCGTCAGTGCTTACGGCATATCTGTCTTTTTCCTGGCCGGTTTCGTTCTTAAGGCTCGTGACGCTGATAGGTGTATCAACGTTCATCAAAGCGCCAATAAAGCCTTCAATCATCTTTTCCGGTTCCCCATGATTTTCGTAGCAACTGTTATAGACAGAGTGGTTCTCGGTGTTCGCATCGAAATCAAAGTTGTCGAATATCCATTGGATTATGGTGCGCATGTTGGCGTTCTCCTCTTCGCGAGCTACCAGTGCAAATACAATGAGATCGCGGAGGGCGAAAGGTGGCCGGTTTGTAGTAAAGCGGAATGGTTTGACAAGATGCATCACTTTTTCTCGTAGGCGACCTCGGATCTCGAGAGTGTGCTCCTTCGAGCTAGAATCAATGCAAGAATCTGCCATGCTATCGGCCGAACTCGAGTCACTTTAACACGGTCTCGATCGCGCGTAAGGCTTCGGTAACTGGCGAGTGCTTGTTATGCTAACACTAGCTTATTAGCGGTAGTGTTGATGTTTCGTATACGGTAATGTTGGTGTTGATTTTTCGTGTGCAGTAATGTTGTGTCGCAAGAAAGCGTTTGATGTGATCCAAAATGTAAACAAGGCAAGAACTCGAGCTATGACCAAGTGCGGGCCGCACAGCGCGATATGTGAAACGTGCGCCTTATCACATGCTTGGGTTGTAGCTTCCAGCTCACATACCGCCGTCCACTTTGGCTGTCACTCTGGGTGTGCGTATAAGTGCCGGCAACATCCATACTTGAGTTCGTGCTGATGCACTTGCGCGCCGGGACAGTTCCACCTGCAGGCTGATGCACCTAACTGACATTCGATAGCAGTGCCTAATAATAACTGTAGAAATGGTTGTTACCGCTATACTATTCAAAGAAACTGTCTCGTTATACTTCGCTATATCATCATTGTATTTGTCTGTATCCCATTAGTGATGCATGCCACGCTAGACATGTTAGCGCTTATAGTAAAAGGTAATAGATAGTCTAGGATCAGCGGAGACACAATAGGCCATCTACCTTACTGCGTATCTTTGTGAACTGAGAATTGAAACTGAGAATCATTTTCTAGGCCTTTAGTAACTCCTACACTGTTTGCCTTGTTTGCTAACTCTCTTTTAAAGTAAGATTAGCAAGTTAGCCGGATTATCCCTACCTAAGATATTGTGAATCGTGCTAGGGATGCAACTAATCATCGGATTAACAACTATGTAACTATACAAAGAAGGATTAGGAGCCAGCTATAGAAACTGCAGTTAATATACCTATTATGTATCCTTCCTCTTAGTACAGGTTAGCTAATAGTATCAGCTAACTAGTATATTACCTAACTAAACTACAACACTCCCCCTTAGGTAGAGATAATATACTATTCAGATTAGACACTCCAAATCTAGGCTTAGAGCTTCACTTCATCTTCTAACTGCCTTTAGATATTAGACTATATCTGCTTTATATACAGCTTTATATACTATACTACTTATACGTGCTTATGTTACATTGTTTGCTAATTGGTTTGCTTTAGAGTAATGTCCTTAGTCGTAATTGCAGGGTTAGCAGGCGCCTATAAAAGACACTTAAACTTAACTAGATAACTTGAACTTTTATAATCTACTCTTTAGCAATCCCCTAAGTACTAGCAGCCTCTACTAGAATTCAAATTCTTACTAAGACCTTTTAAGTCTAATAGCTAGCCGAGACTTTATTATAGCAATAATTCTTTACCCTAGCCTAGGGAGTATAGCGAGTAGTATAGGTAGTAGTAGCAGCGGCGGCGGTAGTAATAATCTAAACAAGAATCGGCACCCTTCGCGTTATAATAAGCTCTAGCTTATAGAGACTAGTAAGTATTACTATTAGAGTTTCCCCTTTCCTAACAATTTACTAACTAGGCGTAGTCCTTAAGGAAGTTTAGTTAACTGTCGCGATTCTCTAGAGAATTATCTAGTGCTTAACTAATATTAGTCCGGAGTAGACTCCGCCTTAGCTACGTAACGTTAATGTTAGGCATTTCATTACGAGCTAGGATAATGCTCGGCTGTTTCTAAGTATGCCTCCGCGTCTACGTAAGGCGGCTAAGGCATTCAATTTAGGCTTAAAATCGAATGTTAACTACTTGCCTGCCGCGCTTGTATATACGGCTACTGCTAGACGCGTGTATACTAGTAACAGCTAGTACGGTCCTTGCAAGCAGTTAAAGGGTCCGTACTTAGAGTGTATAACTCTGAGTTATCGAATTAACGGTTAGGATATCGCTTTCCTAAAGGGCGCTTACACTAACTATGCTAGCCTAAATTATTATAGTTAATGCGAGTTCTCTAGTAAGTTGAATCTAGTCCTATGCATTTTTTAAAGCAAAAACACTAATTCTTTTATTAGGTTACGTCTCTCGGCTACGCTCTAATACGAATCGTTAGACGCCTATAGCGCCTCTACCGCCTCGTAATCCGGGGAGTAGAGCAGGTACTAATCAGCGTCGTCTATACGTACTAGTCCCGTCTAGCATCGATTAGAGTACTCCTTAGGGCGCCTAGGTAGTAGCAAATTTGCTGCTATAGCAGGCAAATGCTTATGCCTAGGCTGCTGCTTAGGGACGTAGTCGTAGTCTAGGTTCTAGGTTGTCTACTAGTCCTAGCTCGACTCGTAATTCTAGTAGTCCTTAGAGGGGTTTCTCTAATTACGAAGACAGTAATGCTAAGATAGGTAGCTAATTAGGGAGATTCGGTTTTTTTTTTTTTTTTTAGTAGATAGAGAGCTATAATATGTGTTTTCGATTTTGAAATAGGCTAGGCAGTCTAGATTGGTAAAAGCCTTGCAGTATTAGAGAGTTTCTAACTCTTAAGGGCTAGGGTATTTCTTCCTACTTAGTCTCAATGTTGTTATAAAAGAAATTTTGTAGCTTAGACTGCATAGTATAGCTAGGCTGTTTCTAGAAATCAGAATGAAATTCAATGAGTGTATAAAGCTTGTTTTCTAATCCTACAAATAAGATTTTTCTTTCTAAAGGAGTAACTTAGGAGTTTGTCCTAGAGACGCTATATTATTAGAGAATTTTGTTTAGAGATTTAGGCTTAGTAAAACAGTCCGCTAGCTGTTTATTAGTAGTAACGAATTCGATACTAATCTTTCCCTAGGTATACTGTTCTCTATAGTAGTAGTTCCTAAGGGAAACGTGCCTTAACCTCTTAGAATTAGTATAGTCCTTAATAAGGGAAATGGCTAACTAGTTGTCTACCTAGACATAAATCCTATTGACTTCTTCCCTAGTAAGTAGTTGAAGCTTAGTCATTAAATTTCGGAGCTAGTAGATTTCTCTATATACTTCTATTAGAGCAATATACTCTACTTTAGTGCTAGAGAGTACGACTTCCTTCTAGAGCTATAATCTCTATATAATTGGAGTGTTATTAAGAAGTATAAGGGCGCCTAATGTTGATCTTGATAATAAAGGGTTACTAGCAAAGTCTGCGTTAGAGTATGCCTAAAATTCTAAAGTTTTCTTCTTTCTAAAGACAAGTCCTTTGTTAACTATGCTAGCAATATACCTCTAGAGATGTTTAGCAGCTATAACATACTTAGGTCCGGGATTCTAAAGGAACCTAGCAAGGTAGTTAACCGTATAGCTAATATCTAGTCTAGTCTAGTTAGCTAGAAACTGCATTTCACCAATTATAGTGTTAAACAGCTAGTAGTCCTAACGGTTATAGGGGGTTATAAGAGGCTCGTAAAGCTTCTTAAGTAGATGCTTTATTAGCTTGCACTAGTCCAAGCTATGCTTCTAAAGCTTCTCTTTAGTATAGTGTATCTAGGAGACAGTAAGGTTTCCTTCCTTGTCTTCCTTTAGATAAAGGCTTAGAAACAGGTTAGACGTAATAATCTTAATTGTGTACTTCTTGCGAAGACCTTTAATTAGAGCATCGATCTTTGCCTTAGAGGTTCTAAAGATTTAGAAGTTATCTATATAAAGGAGGACAAGAATACTATTACCTTGCTATAGGTAACAGTTACTCTTTGTCCTACTTAGGCTAAGTTGACGAAGAGTGTCTAAAGCATTATAGTGCTAGAGATTAGCGGCCTGCTTAAGGCTATACAATCCTTTTCTAATACGGATAATCTACTTTAGAGGGTGCTTCTTAAATAGGTGCGCGCCTTCTAGGGGTCTAATAAAAATCTCTTTGTCTAGAGGGGGATTCAAGAAAGCAGTCTCGATATCAACCTATCTTCGCTTCTAGTTTTTATTTACTAAAAGCCTAAGGACAAGTCTAGTAGTAGCTGCTCTTAGTATAGGAGCATAGGTGTTAACATAGTTAAGACCTTGCTTCTATATAAAGCCTCTAGCCGTCTATCTTGCCTTATATTTGTTAATAGAGCCGTCTAGCAGGTATTTGATCTTAAAAACCTATTTTCCTATTAGAGGTGTTCTGCCTTTTAGTAGGGATTCGGCTAGAATCCACTCGATTGTACTAGACTTTTTAAGAGACCTTATCTCTTTTATAACGGCTTTTCTCTATTCATCCTAGTTAGGCCTTTTTAGGGCTTTAGCTAGGATTGTTAGGTCAGCTAGCTTCTAAGCATCTCTTATAGCAGTAGCTATAGCAATCTTAGTAATCTTGCTATAGTTATACTTAGCTACGGCTCTACTAGACCTAAGTCGTACTTCGGCTTAAGGAGGGTTTAGCTAAGGTAGGTTAGGAGCCCTCTTTCTCTTACTAGTAGTCTTAGGGACTTAGAAGGGAGTGATTAGGGTGTCTTCTAGTTTAGCAGTATCTGTTTCTTAAGTATGCTAATTTTTCTTAGGAGTAGCTTCCTACTAGGTAGCTAGTAGTTCTAGTTAGTGATTTTAGAGTGTTAGCTTATTAGCTGTAGGTATTAGCTAAGGTAGTATTCCTTGCTTAAGTGTACCTTGCTCCCCCTAAGCTGTAAGGGAGTCTTCCTAATCTTCCTAATTATAAGCCTGCTAAGGCTAAGGGATACTACCTCTAAATAGCTCCCCCTAAGGTTCTGAAGAGTGCTAAGGTGTTTAGTCATTACTAGGGAATAGTACTAGGATTCCTAACTTAAATAAAAGGTTAGACTAGGTTTTAAGTACCTAAATAGTCTCCTAAGGGACAGCTAGTCTTAAATACTCCCCCTAAGCTTAAAGGGTACTTAGAAGCTTAGTAAAATTGTCTTTATAGACAAAGTCCTCGTTAAAGGTAACGTATAGAGAGAATCTAATGTTATGCTGCTATACGCTATCCTTCTAGTACGGGTTCTAAAGCAGATAGTTTGTTAACGAATTTTCTTAGAATCTAATAAACTAGTAAACGAAAGCTTTTAGTACAAATTTCTAAGAGTTAAGTCGTTCAACTCCGGATTCGAGGTATTTGAATGCCTTATAGCTAAATCGTCTCGTCTTAGATAGGTCAATGTCTATACTACCGATATTTAAGTCTGATTCGAAAGCCTTAAGTAGAACTTCCTTAGTTCTTAAGTTTACTAGTCTATTAATTAGGTAAATCGAATGCATTACTACAAAGCACTAGCAGTACATTAGTAGGCTAGAGTCAATTATTATTGCTCTTGCCTTAAGCAGAATCGTCTTGTTAGACGACTCTACAATGCTATTCTACTCCGGTATATATAGTACAGATACATCCTATCTAATGCTAACTTCCTCTACAAAATATACTAGATCGTTGTTAGTAAACTCTCCCCCGCTATTACTAAAGATAATCTTAGGGATTTTGTTGTATTGCCTCTTGATTCTAGTTATCTAGTTAGTTAGCTTGTTACTACTTATTACCTTATCTTTGCTTCGAA